CAAATTAACTATGTCAAAATATACAAACCCTTGGGCTAATGTAGGTATATTGATAATCTCTGTAAAAAACATCGTAAAGCTTATAACAAAGCCAAAAAGACTGGCAAACAAGAACATAAAGATAAACATAAAAAAAATAAAGCTACAACACAGAGGGAGATATAAGAAGAGCTCAAATCAATTGTATGCAAGACATAATTAGCCCCGTGTTAGAAGAAAAACCTAAATCTTTCTGGCAATTCATAAAAAGTAAAAAAAAAAACAGAAATATCTGAAGTTTCTCGGCTAATAGGAAAGGATGATTTATTATACAGTGATCATAATACACAATCAACATCCTCAATGAACAATTTAAAAATGCTTTCACTACTGAAGATACATTTTCCATGCCAATAAAGGTTCAAGTCCCTGTCCCACCATGCCAAACATAAATATTAACAATAACGGGATATTAAAGTTACTTAAAAACTTAAATCCCCATACAGCAACTGGCCCTGATAATCTGCCAGCATATTTTTTACTTAATTTTTCAGAAAAATTGTCTCCATTTTGACACACTTTTTCCAAAAATCAATTGTTTCAGGTAAAATCCCAACAGATTGGAAGCAGGCTAGTGTTGTACCTATATTTAAAAAGGTTACAAGCATAACGCTATATTGATTACTGACCAGTTTCTTTAACTTCAATATGTTGTAGAATTTTTTTAACATATTTTAACAAGTCACATCCGAAACATCTTATTAATAATAGAATATTAAATGACAGTCAACATGGGTTTAGAAGTAAAAAGTCTTGCGAGACCAAACTCATTATCAGTATCCAAGATCTAGTAAAATCATTGGCAAATGGCAATCAAATAGATGTTATACTTTTAGATTTTTCTAAAGCTTTTGATAAAGTCCCCTTTCAAAGATTAGCTATAAAAATTAGATTTTTACGGTATTAAGAATCACAACTTAAAATGGATAACACATTTTTTAGCTGACAGGCAACAGCAGATGATTTTATTATAAATGTGTTAACTTTGGTGGATAGTTGTCTCATTGGCAATCATACCCCATCTACTTATTTTTATATAAATCTTTTAAATGAGCTGTTGATTCCGGATGTTTCTAAGGGAAAAGTATTAGGTCTCAAATTATTTTTACTTTTTATTAATGATTTACCAGAAAATGTAACTTGCAATGCAAGATTTTTTTGCAGACATAATTCTGATGCACAATTACTTCAAAATGATTCATCTAGTTCAGTGCAATGGGAACGGGATTTGCAGATGAATTGCAATCCTGAAAAATGTTATGTAATATATATATTAAAAAAAACTTAACCCTTCTTCTTTGCATAATCATGTATCAGAATCTGTTAAAGACAGTAAATATTTAGGTGCAGCTATTAACCATGATCTTGATTAAGGAACACATATAAATAATATTACCTGTACGGCAAATAAAACCTTAATTAGGCTTTTTCAGTCGTAGAATTTTAAAAACTGAATATACGCAGTGGCGGATTTACCGGGGGATACAGGGGGCACGTGCCCCCCCCCCCCCCCCCCCCCCCCAGTCGGGGTCACCAAAACATTTTCTAACATAGTTTTATTGCTACTGTATCTGCTTATCTAGATCGAAAATGAAGACAAAGCTTGATTTGACTTCCTAAACTGGGAACCCCAGCTTCAACATGTGTGATTTATGACAACTTATCGATGGGTGTGTAAATATTGACACCATTGTGTACTGTCTATATCCAAAAGCATTTATGTAAACTATATGTACATGTACATGCTGATTGGAATTAATACGAATATATTTATTGGTTTCTAATACAATATTACAGGATCAAGATCGATTAACAAGTTAAATCTTCTGATCAGAAAAGAAATTACCAACTAAAATCGGTCTTAAAACGGAATATGTAAAAATAGATGTTTAGTGTCAAGAATGTTAGTATCGATATGAGATAAGTCTTTTTTACCAAACACTCACATTGTATACGGTTTCTGGGGAATGTGCCTTTCTCAGAACAGTCTTTTTCGGACTTTACTAAACAACAGACGATTTTTTTCAATGCATACAGCATTTTTTTTTAAACTGAATGTCGTGTTTTTCACTTATTTTTTTATGGAAACAAAACCTTCCACAAAACATGAATGGTCTGTGCCTTATATATAATCATTAATAAAATGATATTGTATCTTAGAAAACCTACTTATATTTGAGATGAAGAACAGCAATAAAAGCTTATCAGTGTGTGTTTTTTTTTGCTGTGCATGTACTGATTTTGTGTCATGGATGGATACCCCATATCCTTTCTTTTTCTATTATAGTACAGTAATATGTGTATATTTTTCTTGTTTTAAATATCATGTATGAGGGTATGAATATGTTACCGTAAATGAGGGTATGAATGGTTTACCGTGAATGAGGGTATGAAGGGGGGTTTACAGATTAGAGAATAATGGTCAAAAAGTTAAGGCTAGAGAATTTGGGCCCAAAAAGTATAGAAAACAGATTAAAGCTGTGATGAACTGTAAAGAATAGAGGACAATTGGCAGCAAATAAAAGAGAAGAAAGAAATTGACCCAAAAATAATGAAAAGATATAAAAGTGAAGACCCGACACCCTACCCCACCCCCAAAACGACCCCCATCATCCCCAATACATGACACATGCAACACCACCCACACTCGCATATATGCATATGTAAATGCTCTTTTGTTCCGACGTTGGAAAGTTCCGGGCGGAAAGAACTAACTAGCAGAAAAGTTCCGGAGGAACTTATTAACTAGTTACTTTGTTCTTCCTCTGGTTTAAAAGTTCCACCGGAACAAAGTGACTAGTTGAAAAGTTCCAACGGAACATATCAACTAGTTAGCAAGTTCCTTTTTGCCAAATTAGTCAAAACCGGAACTAACAAACTAGCCCAAAAGTTCCAACGGAACTTATCAACCAGGCAGAAAGTTCCATTCGGAGAATTGATGCAAAGTAAAAGCGCAACATATTATATTTGAACCTTTCAAAGGGAAACCAAGATACTGATTACAAAAGTCAAAAGGAACTTATCAACTAGCCACAAAGTTCCTCTTTGGCAAATAAGTCAAAACCGGAACTAACAAACTAGCCCAAAAGTTCCAACGAAACTTATCAACCAGTCACAAAGTTCCATTTGGAGAATTGATGCAAAGAACCACATGAGGAGGGGGGTATTCTTCCCTCTCTTGAGGCTACTATGAAAACTAAATTTATATGATAATGCAACTTATTCCGTTTTATGTGAGCTATGAAATACAACTTAAATTTTGCATATTTGTCCCCAAAGAAACCCCTTTCAGTGCGTTGGGTATTCTTGTAAATTAATGATTTGCTCTTATATATACTGATACTCATTCTTCCCCCTCTTCCTACAAAAAGGACGAAATATGGTATATTCGGAACGATGTAACTACTAGTTGTTCTGTTCAGCCAGAACTATTCAACTAGCTACATTGTTCCGGGACTTTACAACTAGCCACTTTTTTCCGGAACTTTTCGACTGCACTCGAAATAAAACAACTAGTTGGAAAGTTCCATCGGAACGAAATAACTAGTTGAAAAGTTCCGCCGGAACAAAGTAACTGACGGAACATAGTGGCTGTTACACAGACATACATGTATATAAAAAAATCTTTAATTTTGGTTTCATGGTGCCTCCCCCCCCCCCCCCCCCCCCCCCCCAGACATCGAGGTTCTGGATCCGCCCTTGATACGTAAGGTTAAAAACCTTACGCACACATTACTTGTCCGTCCAGTCGTCGAATACTCTTCCCCTTTTTGTGATCCTTACACTTGAATAAGCATCACATCACTCAGGTTGAGCAGATTCAGCGTAAGACAGCCAGATACGTCCATAATGATTAAAAAGACAGAACACCGGTTGCAGTTTCGAACATGATAAATTCTTTACAATGGGTCAGTTTACAAAATAAAAGAAAAAAGCTAGATTAACACTGCTATATAAAATTAATTGGGGGTAAGTAGAAGTTCCAAAGGACAATTTAACAAAATCGTATAGACGTACTAGTGAGCAACAAAAATTTCGGCAAATTTCAACTAATAAAGACTCTGGCATCCTTCAAAAGTGGCATATCCACTCTACCATTTGAAGGATCCGCCGTCACCAACTTATCAAACCACCAAAGGCAAAGCCACTGTACATAATGTATATATGTTAATCAATAACCTGACTATTTTTTTTTCTTCAGTAATTTTAATTAAGTCCATATGTACATAGCACAGAAATCCCGAGAAGTTTTACACTCCTACCTATGATCGAGTCTACTCCCGTATTCGGAAGAAGAAAAATATGACTTGAACTTTACAACTAGAAGTCATTGGTGTCAATCTTTCTTGTAAATGCAATCTTCTAACTAAAAAATCTGGTTAGAATTCGTCTTTCCTGAGACCTTGTGCAGTTACAGAGATTTTTTTTTTTGAAACTCGTTTTAATGCAGTTGTCCATCTCACCCATGTTTAACAACCGTATAACGAACGTTACATGAAGTTTATCTTGTCTGTAGTAGTGGTCTTTGGTTTTACCATCCGATTAACGGCTACAACGCTTTGTAACGAACTGTTTCATTGGATCCTTAACTTGCAACAATTTATTTCATTCATTGATTTTAGGTCACTATATCGTCCTAAATTTACCTCTCATGTTTTATTTTTGAGAATGGCTATCATGTTATACAGTTGTTTGAATATTTTAATGAAATAAAGGTGCAATTTAGCGAAGAAAATGTAAAAATTCCTTATAAACTTCGCCCAATACGATTTTGCCTTGCATCTTGTTTTGAACAAAATAAACCCAAACGCAAACCCCTGAAAAAATAACATACTGGAAAGAGTTTATGATTTCCATTGTATATACTATTGTGAATATAAGTCTTCTATCATAAGGTATAAACTCAACAATAGATTTTGCCGTGAAGCGAGGACCGAATGGCGCCCAACTTTGTTAGTAAATTGTAAGTCACGTGACCAGCGTTTACGAATATGGCGGCTTACGAAAATTTTCAACATGGGTTCCAAACACTTCTTATTCCCCCATTATGATGGTGTAGCTACTTTTAAACACGTTTGTAGGGTGTATTTTATGGTGTCATAACTTCTAAATTGGTGGAAAATGTCGACAAGGGGCAGGCGAGCAAGAGGCCGACCTCCAAAAACCCCTTTGTCGTCGAATAGACCAAGAACGAGCATAAATTTCTTAAGAAAACCGAAGGCCCTTCAAAACAAAGATGAATCTAATAACAGTTCAAGATGTAGTACGCCAATCAGCATTCCAGGGACTCCAACGAGAAAAAATAACAGATTTGGTACTAGAGAATCGAGTGGTAGGGGTAGGACCTTTATTTCACGTGTTACTTATGATGATGAAGTGGACGAGGCATCTAGATCAAGTATGGTTTCTGAGGATGGTGTTATTGATGACTTTGAAACAAAATCTGATCTTTCAGAAGATTCTTATGAAGAATCTGATTCAGACTTTAGTGATGATAGCCTCAGTACAGTTGCAAGCTCTGTTGGGAGGAGGCATTTTCTTATTCGCCGTCCAGTATCCCCAGATATTGATGATGAGTCTGAAATTCCATCCCTCGTCCTACCATCAACTTCAAATGATTTAACAATTCCTAATGATTATTTGATGCAATGTCTTAGCATATATGAAGTTTTACGACATTATAGAACTATTTTAAGGTTATCACCATTTTCATTTGAAGATTTCTGTGCTGCTTTACTTAGTGAAGAACTATGTATTCTTCTTACAGAAATTCACATAACCTTGTTGAGATCTTTGATTAGAGAAGAAGATGGCAATAACACAACATTTGGTCCCCAAGATACTAAAGACAGTGTTAATATTGCACTATTTCATATTGACTCATTTACATGGTCTGAACTTGTACGTTCTTATCTTGATAGTGACAGACATTCTGATACAGATTCAGATTATGAAGAAGCAATTAAATCGTTAGAAATTCCAGATTATCCATTTGTTCAGCTACCAGAGCGTATGAAAGTGCTAAAAATTTTAACAGACTTGTTTCTGGGTTCTAATAGTGTGCGTGAAGAAATCCTGAATGAGGGCAATATACAGTATGATGACCATTGTAGAGCATGTCATAAGTATGTAATATTCATGGAGTGAATAATAGTACTAGCTTAATAAAGATGCATTGTATTTTCAAACATGATATTTTGAAAAAAGTACAGGATAAAATAAGTAAAATTAGAGGAGAAATTCTGGATAGGAATGACAATTTTACTTGTATCATATTTTAAAGGAGGGTTTTAACAGGAATGTGTTTAGAAGAATGAAAATATGTTGCATTTCTAAAAAAAATCCAATTTTCATGATTAAGCAGATGTCATGGATGTAAAAATATAAAAATTAGACAAAAATAAAAAAAAAACTGACAGTCTAAACAGAATAACTATTACAGGTATATTAATCATGTTACCAGTTACACATATATAGTGTGAAACACACAGAACAATGTACCTTTTGTTAATTTAGACCACACAAAAAGTATGTTTAGGTTTTTCACCATAAGAAAAACAAGATAGATGCATTGTACAAAAATGTAAGTAGGACGTACTTTCTTTTGCAACAAGTATAATTTTATTCAGTATATCATGTATTCGGGGAGATGTGGGATTTTGCCATATTTTCTACAAACAATATTAATGTCGATCACATCTTTAGGGTAGGTAGGAAAACCCTTAACACAACTATTTTTTATTTTGACATTAAAAAATGTTTTCCATTCTGTTGTCAGCCCTGAAAGCATTTTGCATCTTTTGTTTTTATTTTGTCCCAACGAATACTTGAGTGTCCCATAGCAAAACATGGACTTCTCTATTTTTTTTAAGTATTAACTAGTTTACAATCTAGAATGATTTGTTGTAATTTCTCTGCAAGATGAAATTCTTAAATTTTGCCTGTTCCACTCATAGAAAAAGTGACCTCAATATGACCTTGTCTCATTATAAATTTTGTCCTTTTATTTTTGTCTTCCCCAGAACCGTTTTTCATCTGTGGTGATAAACTAAGTGATGATTAAGAAAGTGTTTCTTAATATTACTGGATTCTATTCAGGAATTGTGAGAGTGGAGTAGTTATGTCTATGAGCTCTGCACACAGTTTGTATGGTTATATATATATTGTATTATTTCTTAACTAGTGCTTTGTTTATATTTGTAGATTAGGAGATTTATTGTGCTGTGAAACCTGTTCTGCTGTATACCATTTGACGTGTGTTGAGCCTGCCCTAGAGGAGGTTCCTGATGAAGATTGGGTGTGTTCTATTTGTAAGGCTCATAAGGTAAGGCTTGAAGGTGGTGTGGTCAAGGTTATCACATACATTGTACTAATACTTAAGAAGTAAAATTCAAAAAGTTATAACATGTATAAAGAGTGTTTAAAAAGCTATGTTCTTGTGGAAATCAAACCTTTCCTTAAACATAGTAGTCAAATTTTTCATAAGAAAAAATTCTTCTCTGCTCTTACTTTAAATTAAATAAATGATGTTTGTTGTGTTTTGATAGAATGTATTACATGTATGTATTATAGTTAACATGGTTAAGGAAGTTGAGTACTTGAAAATTACATTGTCCTTTCATTTGGAATTTTCAAATGTCAGTGTTTATGTTAGGTTGAAAATCGAATTATAGAGTACATGTAAATAGTTCTATAACATTGTGTATTTCCTGAATGTATAATGTGGGACAAAGAGTATCTTCATGTCTTTGATTTTGTAATTTTTTTATAGATAAAAGGAGTAACAGATTGTATCTCTGAAGCAGAAAAGAGTGGGTTGCTCTGTCGACAAGAACCCATCGGCTATGATCGTCATCGTAGAAAATACTGGTTTTTAATAAGAAGAATTATTGTGTAAGTGAGCAAAAATTTCCTTTTGAATATAAACATGAATGGAAACACATTGCTATTGATTTAAAAAAATCAGATGCAAATATAGGATGGATTATTTTGAACGTGAAGAATTTCTGTAAGACCACATCATAACACATCTCCTTATTTTATATCTGTATATGTTTTTATATTTTTTAAGGCAATATCCTCCCTTAACTAATTAATGCTGTGGTTTACTAATCTTGGTATGAATAAACGAAGGTACAGGGTAAAGGTTAATATGACAGCAACCCAACAACACAAAAAAACTGAAAAAAATGTTGAGGTAAACATAGGGTTTTCAACAACTGACAGGTTTCTTTTCTAAATGTCCAGCTCTTAACCACCCAGAGCTTTAAAAGAGTTGTGCATAATTAAACATCTACTGAGACTCTCAGAGATAGGCCATCAACACTAAGTTCCCAAAATGACAGAAGTATTGCATGTTGTGAGATGGTAAATATCTGATCTCAGACTTGGGATTGTATAACTTTTTTCAGCAGAAATATCCATGTAGAAACTTAAAAGTCTCCATTTTTTTCAAGCAAACACAGTCTGATAGATAAGCATTGTATGGATGAAACAGTATTACCTAAAATGAATGGTGCTCAGTGTAGAGGCAAAAAAAGTTATATAAATACAATTAAGACATATATATTATAAATGGATGTTTCATGATGCACTTAATTGACTTAGATAGTTACTAACAGTGATCAAAATTTGTTTTGATAAAACTGATATACATTGATATAGACTTTTCTTTATTATATGCTCCTATCTGAAAAGGCATGAAACATAAATAAAGATTTAAAAAAAAAGAAGAAATTGTAAAAGCTAAAACATTTATGATTTGACAGGTTTGTAATATTTGGTGTTTGGTTTTATATGAAAAAAGTATTTTTCAACAAATGGCTTACATTTCTCATGATAAAAAAACTAAGGCCTTAAGATATGTTCATGTACCTTGGGAGGGTTAACTTTTTACTTGGACTTGTATGCAATTGCAATAACTTAAATTTTTATTTTTTTCCCAGTGAAGGTGAAAATGATGTTTGGTACTATAGTACAAAATACCAGATAGATGAATTGTTAGAGGTTTTAGACAAAAATAAGTATGAGAGAGACCTTGTCATGTTTATTAATGAAATGAGGGAGGAAATAGTCAGACAGATGATGATTACAGAAGAGTTGACAAATGCCAGTAAAGGAACGAGGAAGTCTGCTATTGATATGGAAATAGGTATATTGTGTAAAATGTCAACAGTATAAATGTATATATGTTTATATGCAGATACTGAATGAAATAGATAATGTACACAAGACAAAATTACATGAAACAACTACAGTGAACTAAATTGACAGTACATTTTGTTACTACTTTTCTTTTTGAAATGTGCTGAAAGGTCTTTAGCAATGGGTATGCACTATATCAACATTCAAAGGCAAGTTTTAAGTAAAAAACGAAAGAAATTTAAGCATACAGATTTAAATAAAATTATTGTTTGTGTATAATGGAAAAAAAGGGACTTTGTGTATTGATTCATGACTCTTAAATCCTTCAACACACTTGACAAAATTCAAATCAAAAGAACAGCACTTTTATTGTTGCTCTTCATCTTCAATTTGCAGATATTATCTATGTTCACCAGTTCCTATTTATACAATTGCAAGTTCTTGTAAGGCAAAGAACTGCATTGTTCTCTACTCGCTAAATTTTGCGTACAAAATGAAGGGAATACTGTAAATTCAGAAATTATTGTGTGCATTTATCATGTTTATTATTGCGACTTTTATAAAATGGACAAAAATGCGAGATTAATTATTGCGATTTCAGGAAAATCTTCATACAGATTATGTATCCTATATCAGAATGCTAGTTCTTATTTTTGCGATACTCACCAAGTTGCATTACTAGCATTGATAAAAACCTTGCAATAATTTCTGAATTTACAGTAATAAAAACTTATAAAAGAAATGGAAGCACATTACAAATAAGAGAATCAACCAGATTAAGAAGCAAATATTAAGTAAATATTTGTACTAATAGTAAGTTTCATTAAGTTTGACATTGAATTATCTGTATAGGTTAAACTATACATACAGAAAGTATATGTTTACATTGATGATTTTCAATTCAAGCTAATTTAACAAAAGTGCAATCAGAAAGAGTTATACAAAAAGAACAAGAGGAAAAGGACAGAAAGGCTAAAGAAGAAGAAGATAAAAAGAAAGCTGAAGAAGATAAGAAGAAAGCTGAGGAGGATGAAAAGCGAATGGAATTAGAAAAGCAAAATCAGGAGGAAAAAGTGGTACAATATATCTTTACATTAATAGCATTTATTGCCTCATTGTAGTAAGGGGGGATATTCTCATTTAAAGGCTGTAAGTTTGTTCCTAACCTCAGGCACAATAATATGACAAAGAAAGAAATAGCTAGAAGAAAAAAGAAGAAAACATTAAACTTACAGTATTTTAAAAAAATTGATGTTTGTCTCAACTTTTTATTGTTGATTTTTTCCAGGAAAGTATGGAAGTTGCAGAGGAAGTTTCTGTCACTACCACAACCACTTCATCATCTAATTCTTTTACATCTGAAGCAGAGATAGATGACCAGACTAAACTGTCAATAGAAAAAACAGAAGTGTCACAAACTACTACAACAACCAGTGTCAAAACAGTAACTTCATCTACCACAGTAATATCCACAAGTTCCAGTGGCACATGTGACAGTAAATCAGAGTCAGCAACAACATCTAATGGTGCAAAAATTATAAAAATTACACCTGAAATGTCTGTGGAAATCTTCAAAAATGCTAATGCTAATTCATCAGGGAAAGGAAGTGATTCCACAGACAAATCTGAACCTACAGGGGATAAAAAAGAAGATAATAAAACAATAATGAATGTACAGTCTCTTATACCTAATGTAAAATCTACGATTCTGAAAGTTCAGGATGATTCTAGCACTCCACAGAAACAGACTGTAAAACCAACAATATTCAAAGTTCAAGACGATTCTGGGACTCCTCAGAAACAGACAAGGACAGTATTGATTGTGAATAGAGAGGGTAACAAAGTGACGTTAGCCGTCAGTAAACAGTCAATCACTGCAGCAGATCAGAATACTCCTACTACAGCCATGTCTCTATCTCAGTCTATAAACAATGCTCTCACATCTGTTACATCATCAGGTAATATAGATAATTGTCTGGATGGAATACTGTGAACAAACTTATTTCCGCATTTTCACATTTAGCTCTTTCTAGCCGACTTCAAAGCAATTTATTTTTTTCAATTTTTTTATTTCTTGATGCATTTTCATAAAGGTGATTTATTTTCCCAATTTTCTAATTTCTTGATGCATTTTCTTAAAGAATGATCCAAGTTTACATACATGTGACGATTTATATTTAGTTTCGAAAATAAATTAATTATGAAAAATAAGTAGGCTTACAGTAGCATAGGTCTGAGTGAGCCACTATGAACTATATATTATAGTTTACTCACAACTAATGTGTGTTTTTTTTTGGTTTTTTTATAGCTTCCAGTATGTATAATATATAGAAATGCCAGTCAGCCCCTAGCCTGTGTGTGTATTTTACTTGAATTACAGAATTGAAAATTGTAACCAAGATTTGCAAAAATACATTTAGAAAGAAGTACCTTTTAATTGATTCATTAGATCTTTATTAATTTCTAAATGTATTTGAGTACAAATGATTTTTTTTGGGCAAAAACTTGACTAAAGTGCTCTATCCATTTTGGGCAAAAACTTGATTGAAGTGCTCTATCCATTTTTGCAAAAACTTGACTGAAGTGCTATTTCCATTTTGTGCAAAACTTGATTGAAGTGCTCTATCCATTTTGGGCGAAAACTTGACTGAAGTGCTCTATCCATTTTGTTCCATATTGAAAACATGGGAAGCTTAGGATAAAAGGGTAAAGTGTGCGAGTGTAAAAAATATAAGAAATAGGTCTCTAACAAATGTAAAGGGCACAAAATTTGAAGAATTATTAAAAGCTATGTAGATCAAGCCCAAGACATGTACCATATTTGCTCAGTTATTGGATTTATGAGCTTCTTCATTGTTTTTTTTTTTATTCATGTATTATTTTCACAAATGATTGTTGGGCAAAGATTTTGTATGAACATCATTAGATTGGCAATGAAATATTTATATATAACAAGATTTATATTTAGGCTTTGAAATAGATACATGAATCTATTGCTTCTTGAGAATGTAACTAATCCAACTTTGTTTAAATCTCATTTTCAGAAAGTAGAAAAATAATCACCAGATCAAAGACTGGATCATTAACACCTAAAACATTTACAGATTCAGTTACATCAACAACTACATCTAAATCTATCAGTAAATCAGGCTCTGATGATCTGTTGGTTATCAATAAAGAAGGGGACATAACCAGGATTACACGTAGTAAAAGTTCAGTATGGTCGTTACAATCTCATCAATACTTCAAATTAGGTAAGAGTATGTATATAGATATAAGAAGATGTGGTATGAGTGCCAATGAGACAACTCTCCATCCAAGTCAAAATTTATAAAAGTAAACCATTATAGGTCAAGGTACGGCCTTCAACACAGAGCCTTGGCTCACACCAAACAGCAAGATATAAAGGGCCCCAAAAATTACTAGTGTAAAACCATTCAAACGGAAAAACCAGCGGTCTAATCTATATAAAAACGAGAAACGAGAAACAGGTATGAACTACATAAACAGACGACAACTACTGTACATCAGATTCCTGACTTAGGACAGGTGCAAACATTTGCAGCGGGATTAAACGTTTTAATGGTAGACCTTTTCCCTTTTCTGAAACAATAGTATAACATCACAACTTAGAAAGACATACTATAGAATATCAATTGGAAGGCTTAACTCAATCAAAAACGCAAATTAACACACAATGAACGTATAAATTTGATCTGTGATACCTGAATGCAATTACATAGTTAATAAAAATTATAAAGGATAAATAATTAAAGTTAAAATTAATTAACAGGTTTAAACAAAGTTTAGTAGTTCAAATTAGTTGTGGTTTCTGTCACTGTAGAATTACAGAATTAGTGTTATTATTCATTTAAAATTCATTTGATCAGAAAAAATTCAATAGAAATATCTTGACTGTTTGCAAGATTTTGAGTATTTCTTAATTGCTATTTCTGAAAAAGAACAAAGGAAGGAGTGTAAAAGTAACAATAGATAAGGAAATGTAACACAAGTGAAAAAGTGTCCGACCACCAATTTAGCCGCCTCAATTTAATAAAAGTAGCCTAATCTGACAAAAAATAGTACTTTTGATGTTGACTTAAACTAGCATATTAAGGTACATGATTGAGAAATATATTTTGACCATTTTGAGCTGTGAAATTGAAAAAAAATGTTTGCATATATTGGGATTTTGAATTAGTTGTCTGACAACTATAAAAAATTAAGGGAGAAAAGATTCACCATGGTTCTGATATTTTAATTCTTCTGGGTTGGTTTTCAAGAATGTTTCAATGTTTACGTTACTAATATGATGATTTGGTTTCAATTTTGATTTTACAATAATTTCATTGCATTTCTGTCATTCAGTTCTTATTTGACTACATACTTTGTTTTAAAATGGGAGAAATTTATGGAACCAATTTATATCAAACCATGATCTTCATATGGAAATTGTATGACTGATATTTATATGTTAAGTATTATGACTGAGTTTTTTAAAGTATGAACTCAATGGCTTTTCAATTTTAGGCATGGAATGTAGTTTCAAGAACTATTCAAACCAATATTCAACCAATACCCTTGCACTGAACAAACATCAACATAATGAAGAAAGAGACAAAAAACGATTTCTTTCTCACAAGTTTAGTTTAACACCTATAAGTGAATTCAAATGGGGTGGATCATGCAATGGTAGAAAAACTGTGGTACTACAAACATTGGTCACGACAATAACAAACTTAGAATCCAATCTTCCATCTGCGTTGTTGCATCCTAACTGGCCACTTCATCGGCAGAGTTGGGCTAATGCTGTGCAATTATGTCGAACTCCTAGTGATTTTGGACTTGCACTTTCCATATTGGAAAGTTGTATGAAGCCAGTTATTTTTAATCCAGTATGGACAGAAGCCTTAGGTAAGTGTTATTTCTTTTTCATTGAGTAAAAGGAATTTTCAGAGACAAATACTGTGGATTCATTTATTTTCATGGATATTTGATTTTGTAGTTTTGTGAAAGAATGCATTCTAGTCTTTAGAAAATTTGCCCTTAGTTTGTGAGACCTTTGTAAAATTTCAAGGTTACATGTTTGATATATTTTCTTTCATTAAACAGAAGGCAGTAGATAGCATGAAGAAAAAAAAATATTTAAGGGGACAATAGCATAAATAGCAAAAAATCAGCTAATACTCTAGAAAGTGAAAAAAAAGTTTTGACAATCATTAAATTTCTATTTTTAGTTTACTTGCATAAGTGGGTACTGTCTCATTGATGTTTATTCCACATCCCTTGTCTTAATCAGAATTACGAACTCAATTAAATCTGAGTTTTATCATTCTTAGTGTGTGTGTTTTGTTGTCCACTGGAGTAAAGTTTGGCTTTATAATTGCATTTACATAACCACTTTTGCATGTTTTAGGACATTCAAAATTGCTGAAAATTACTGCTACTGATAGGGAAGAGCTGAAGAAAAAAGAAAAGGAAATAAGGAAAAGAAAAGAAGAAGAGGAAGATGCTAGACCCTTAGTTTGGATCAAATATACTTTAGGTTTAAAGCATCAGGTAAAATGAGGGAATGTTAACAAAATAACATTATGTACTAAATGCATTATACCGAGAATTCTTAAATATGATTTTGTTATCCATCACACTAAAACAAACAATTTCCATTCATTCAGATACAACCAAAGAAAAATTGTCTCAGTCATCACACAGATTTAGAATGTCTTACTAAATAATAAGAACCTGTGACTCTTTTCATAAAAAATCTTACTATTAAAATTGATCGTAAGTTATAATGAAATATGTATGACTTACGATATTTTTACTCTTAAGATTTTTTTGTGAAAAGAGTCGCTGTTTCTTAATCTTACTGTAAGCTGAAGTTCTTATTTGACTCATTTAACTCCCATGGCCATTACATTGTTTATATTATTTAAAGCCAATTGTAATCAAAGAGTAGTAACTTGATCTATATAGCAAATTCTGATGATCATGATGATAGCTGTTTTAACAAGGTTTGCTTTCAATTGCTTGAAAAGGGCATGCTTAATAGATTTTGATTAATAGTGCTGACAGGATCCTGATAAAAGTTTTATCAACACAGAAGCATGAAGAACATATTTTGAATATCCCAGAAGTGTATATGGATAATTACTCTCCCTTCAGTTGCAGCTCATTGAATATAAAAATGAACATCTGTTGTGCATCAAGCTATTCATTTATACTGTATGAAACATGTATTACATGTAAAGACTAAATTTAATGTTTGGTTCACTATTCTACGGGCCTTAAATGCCAACCGGCATGAAGATGATAGGTGAAGTGAGGTGAGGGTCACAATTCAGTTGTCTTCATGATGGTCGATTTCTTTAGACTTTTTTTATGCATTCAATGAATAACCAATTAAAATATTTTGAATAGGTTTGGAAACAAAAAGGTGAAGAATATCGAGTAACAGGGGGACAGGGATGGTGTTGGAGAAGTAAAACTCGCTCTAACAAGCGTGTACCACAGGATACTGTTGGACTTAGATCTGTGGCAAGGAAACTGCAGGCCAGAAAGCGCAAGAGTGAAAAAGATGGAATAAGCGTTTCTAACACTGATGATGGAATAAGCGTTTCTAACACTGATGATCGAATAAGCGTTTCTAACACTGATGATCGAATAAGCGTTTCTAACACTGATGATCGAATAAGCGTTTCTAACACTGATGATCGAATAAGCGTTTCTAACACTGATGATCAATCAGTGTCAATAAAAACTGAAGTTAAAGAGGAAGTTGAGGTTAAAACTGAAGTTAAGGAAGAAAACATGGAAGTTGATAAGGAGAAGACAGAGATTGTGGTGAAAAGTGAAACTCCTAGTGTAGATAGTCCTGATAGTAAGGAAATTAAAACAGAAATAAAAACAGAGCCACCCTCTGTTGTGGAATCACAAAATGATGAAACATCTTGTGTCGAAAACTCAGGGAATGAAAGTAGTGAAATGTGCAATACTGATGAACAAAAAGTAGAAACAATGGAATGTGACACGGGTGAAGGTAGTGAAGTGAAAGAAGAAAGAGACATAGACATAGACATAAAAAGTAGTCCAATAAAAAATGAAAAAGATATTGACATAGAAAGCAATAGTCCAGTTAAGAAACTAGATATTGAAAATGGCAGCCCAGTTAAAAAATCTGAACTGGATGTCATACTAGTAGCTCCAAAAAAGCATAGAAGTGAGTCTGCCTTTGTTAAAAAATTAGAGGTCGAGACCGTGGAGGAGAATGACGAGAAAAAAGTTATCAGTGTTGGAAATAAAAATCATACCGTAACAATCAATATGGCAGCAAGTAAATTACGACCACCTATTTTACACATAGACACTCTTGATGTTAGCAAAGCTCTAAATGAAAGATCTTTTTACGACAAAATTACAAAACCTTATGCAAAACTTGACATGCTGCTTGCTAAGAGAATCAAACAGGATGAAATTGAAACCAAACAAAGGCAAGCATTACAGCAACAGATTAACTGGAAATTGAAAGTCCAGTTAAGTCCGGGTTCAAAGGAAGATGAAAATGAGACCGGAAACAAGGAGAAAACTGATACTGGTGAGTCTGACCATGACATATCATTACATCATGATGAAACTTCTCCATACACATGTTATTCCTATTTGTGTAGAGGACAGGGGAAAAGTATGTGTTACTCTCCCCTCTGTATTCATAATAGGTCTCTGGAGGAGGAGTTAACAACAGGTTTGGAAGACAGTACCCACAAAATGGAAGAAGATGAAGATGTAGATGTTGAGGGAGATAAAGATGAGAAAAAGGAGGAAGAAGGTGGAAAGGATGGAGAAAAAAATGAGGACAAAATGGATGTAGATGTCATATCTACAGAGGATGGTAAATCAGAGGTTAAAATGGAAGTTGAAGTTGGAGAAGAAAAGACCAATTTGAATAGTTCAAATGAAGAAAAAAAGGATGTTTCATCAGTGTCTAAAACTTCAAAGCCAAACAGTGATTCAAAAAATGGAGATGTGAAACAAAAATCTGCTGTGAACAGTACTATTCCACCACTCTTGCAGAATAAAAAGAACCCATTCTTTACAACTGCACAACTAGCACTTAAACAAGCAATAGAAAAAATGAGTATTGATGAACTCAGAACTAAGATGCCTCCAGTGCGGAGCACAAAGCATGAAATAAAGTTGATAAAATATTCTAGGTTTGGACAGAAGGTGAATAAAAAGAAAGCCAATTTACCTCAGTGTCATAAATTTTTAACTCCAAGTGGTAAAAGGACTATGTTTGCTTTAGAGAAGCATGATCTCAGAAAATTAGCCAGGAAAGCTGGCAAAACAGAGACAAAAGCATTCAACTACAATTGCAAAATGAACAATGTGAACTGGATTTATCCATGTCCTCGACCTGTTTTTAAAACTGCTTGGAAATACAGAACACAAACGGTAAAAACCTTTGGTTCTGTTGCATTGCAGTTACGTATAATGTATGTGTGTCTGCGATGGGATGATATCTCGATAAAACCGCCGGTTGGAGGTACAAACACTGTGTCAACTGAGAGCGAAATTACGACTACTGAACTTTTAAAGCGTAGAGATGTAGGGCCTCATATGCTCAGATCGGAGTTTCTAGTCAGGAAAATAGTAGTGCCTTTAGGAATAACTTCTCAACCAAAAGGTGAGTAGTTATTTTTATGAGTGTTGATAGGAATATGTGACCACTCGGGGAGGATATAAGCTTTGACAAATGCAGGCCATGTTAATTAAATTATCTGGTTCTCGGATACTACTGCATCAGCAAAAAATAGGCAGCTGGCTTGTACTTATCGATGAACATAAATAAAGTGTGTAAAAAAGTGGCATTTAAATTTGACTGCCTTTTAGCATGTTTAATATTTCTTAATGTTGCCAGACATGGAATGCATGGAAATTTATGAAACTTTGACAGACACAAAAAAATTTGTACATGCCTTTTATACATGATATATTTGCCTTCACATTTATAAAAAAGATTACTAAAAATTAAGTTTATTAAGTGTTACAAATTCAAAACACTCTGTTGTTGTAATTAAAAAATTAAGTTTATTAAGTGTTACAAATTCAAAACACTCTGTTGTTGTAATTAAACATGTGGATTATCATTTTGATTGTATTTCAGTTGTCATGAAGTTGTAGTATGATTCATATGCATATAACATAAAATGAAAGATGTACATTTTAACTTTATTTACAGAGAAATACACACCTCAGAGAAGTGGCTTGAGAGAAAGAAAGAGGGCAGAATCTCCAAAACAAACTGAACCTAGCGTTACAGAAGTCTGGACACCAGAAGAGGAACTTGAAATCTGGGAAATCAAACAGTTTGGTGAAAAGTAAGAAAAACATCATACAAAAACCATATATTCATTTGCATTGAATATATTTGAAGGGCTTAGCACAGATAATTTTCTTCAAAATCAATAAGCACCTTGGTAATGAAGAAATGTTAGAAAAATGTTTATGAAAAGAAATTAAGTTTATACATTATATTCAATCATTTAAAAGATTTAAAGCATGTCAAGCCCATTTTCTATGTAACATTATTTATTTTATACTTATTTTAGGATAATTTTCTGTGAACTAAGTAGCTAGCTGGTGGATAACAGATATAAAAAAATTCCTCCTATCCCCTCCTATTTTCTAGAATAGTCCCAGCACATATGATAGAAACATTAAAAAAAGAAAAAGTGACAAGAAGATTTTGCATGGTTCCCCTTCCACAGAATTCATAGTATTTTTTTTGTAGAACATCCCAAATAAATCTTATTTCATTCTTGCATAGCCTTACAACTATAGAACACAAATTAATATACCACAAGTAAGTCATAAAGACAATGACAGAGTTAATGACTTGATTAAGTAGATTTTAAATAATACTTAATTTTCCAGACTTGCCAAACAAAGAGCTGCACTTACAGAGAAAGTAACCATTGAACAAGCAAACCAAACAGCAGTCAATGCAGCACAACTCAAAGCAACATTAGAAGTTCAACTCAAACAGCAGCGACTAGCATTACAACAGAAACGACTGTTAGAAGCTCAGGGTAAAACAGCTGACTCTGTTTCCACTACTCAATCCATCATTACAGCTACATTGTCCAGTTCAGGTGGAGGTACCATCATCAAAACCATAAGTACAACAACAGGATCTCTCATTGGTACTGGTCCAACTAGTATTCTGAAAAATGTTCAGGTCCAGCCAAAGTCACTCCTGTCACCATCAGGTAGGGTTATTTTTAGGTCAACAAAGGAATCGGGAACCAAAATTATTATTATTATGAATTCATTTATTTTCGTGGATTAGAGAAACATGAGAAACATTGTGTTTTTTATAGATATTTGATTTTGTGAATTTGTATGAATCTGAATACAAGCTCATAGAAAATTTGTACCTCATTTAACATTTAAATTTGTGGTTCGCCTGTACCTATGAAATCAATGAAAAATTGGTATCCAATGCATAATAATGATCCACAGTAAAAAAAAAATATGCAATCAAATAATATGAACTAAAGTTTTAAGAAAATCTTAAAGTAAGATAATTTGTTACAAGTTAAAAAATTGACTTCTCTTATATTCATCAGTTTAGATGATGTTTTGACATGTCATCCTACTTGGACACATTATTCTGACTCAAGGCAACTTTGCTCTTACTCCTTATCATAGAAACAACAAATACCAATTTTCAAGTCTTGGTTGAACTGGCTCGGGATAGAATCCATGTAGTTTCACACTATGCATGAAATAAATGAAATTAAAAACCCAACGAAAATTTCTGCTTTTACAATATATATCTTATAAAATTGTTCTTTGGTGTTCAAATAATACAAATTTGTTATTTTGTTAGTTTTGTAAAGTACATATTTTCCTTGTTCAATTTATTTTTAATGTTGATGTTTTTTTTTTATTTCAGTGACGTCTGCAATATCCTCAACCACTCCTAACCAGCTGGTTAAGGTCCAGTTACCAAAAACAACCATACAGATACAACCAACTGCTCGGCTAACATTAGCTCCTAAACCAGGGTTAGTGGCAACCACAAACACAACCAGTACCATGCCCACTAGGATAGTTATACCAGGAAGTACAGCAACAGCTGCTACGTCTGCTCCAAAGTGTAAGTAACTGAGGACTCATTTATTTTTCGTTGATTCCAGTTTTCATAAATTGAGGAAAAATTGTATTTTCATGGATATTTGATTTCATAGTTTTGACATACAAGCCTATGGAATATTGTATATGTTTCAACATTTAATATGAGGTTTACCAATACTAAAGAATACAAAGTATGTTGCAACACATCTTTTTATATGGTTGATTTGTTGATCAACTCCTGTGAGAGTTACAAAAAGAACTTTAAATAAAACTTTTCATGGAAGAATTGAATTCTTTTTGTAATTTCTTTGGTGTGTAAAAATGTTGATATCCATATTTTTATATGAATCTATGAAACTATTGAAAGAGGGATTGAATACAAATAAATACATTTGCAGCTTTTATTGGTTGAAATTTAATAATTTTTTCATTTTTTTTTTTAAAGTAATCACAATAGAAGAATGTTGATGCTTGCCTACAAAGAAAAACAGATTCTACTACTTTGTTGGGTGACATGGCTTTCTCTACTCAAGCATATAACTTTTTCTTTTCGATTTAATCCCTTGGTGATAAAAAATATTTTGTCTCACTAAAATATACTAAAAGATTGAAGATTGAAATTTTCTCCCAGCAGATCTAGTATAATATTTGATGTAACTCTTATAAATGTATTTTGTATCTGTTTTTAGTTTTCAGTATAATTGTGTTTCTTCTTACAGTAGCTGTCAATGCAGTCAGACCAGCTAATGCAAACCCGAGCAACCCTGGAGGCCAGGTCCAAAATCTCCAAATAATACAAGGGCCATCTGGACAATTACAAGTCAGAGGTCTATTACCAGGTAATGATTTTCTTTGTTAAATTCTTGTGAAAGCATATTTCATGAATATAGGTTTACCCTTGTCTCTCTTTCTATCATTCCATTTCAATGATTTGTCCATAATTATGTTGTTTTTAGTCCCCTACCGACGAAGTCAAAGGGGACTTTAGGTTTGCACTAGGTCCATCTGTCTGTCTGTTTGTCTGTTTTTCAATCCGTCAGTCCGGCAAATCAGTTTTTCACACTTTTTTTCTTCATGTTTGAAGATATTGATTTGATATTTGGTATATGGTTTTATCATGACAAGTTATAGATCAAGTTTAAATTTTTTTCCGGTCTGATGATTTTGTCCAGAGTTATGGACTTAGAAAATTCACTCAAATAATCAGTTTTCCGCACTTTTTTCTTCATGTTTGGAGATATTGATTTGATATTTGGTATATGGTTTTATCATGACAAGTTACAGATCAAGTTCGAATTTTGTTCTGGTCTGATGATTTTGTCCAGAGTTATGGACTTAGAAAATTCACTCAAATAATCAGTTTTCCTCACTTTTTTTCGTCATGCATGAAGATATTGATTTAATAATTGGTATAAATAGTTTTATCATGACAAGTTACAGATCAAGTTCGAATTGTGTTCTGGTCTGATGATTTTGTTCAGAGTTATGTCTTTAGACTTAGAAAATTCACTCAAATAATCAGTTTTCCACACTTATTTTTGTCATGCTTGAAGCTATAGGTATCAGAATTGGTATATAGTTTTATCTTGACAAGTTACAGATCAAGTTTGAATTTTGTTCTGGTCTGATGATTTTTTGCAGAGTTATGGTCCTTGGACTTAGAAATTCACTCAAATAATCAGTTTTCCACACTTATTTTTGTCATGCTTGAAGATATTGACTTGATATTTGTTATATAGTTTATTCCATGACAAGTTATAGATCAAGTTAGCATTTTGTTCCAGTACAATGAATTTTTCACCGGTAGGGGACTATGTATTGCCATGCAATACTCTCAAAATGCTTGTTGTCGAGCCTGCGACTTTTGTCGCAGAAAGCTCGACATAGGGATAGTGATCCGGCGGCGGCGTTAGCTTACTTCTTAAAAGCTTTATATTTTAGAAGGTAGAAGATCTGGATGCTTCATACTTTGTATATGGATGCCTCATGTTACGAAGTTTCCATCAGTCACATGTCCAATGTCCTTGACCTCATTTTCATGGTTCAGTGACTACTTGAAAAAAAAGTTAAGATTTTTTGTAATGTTAAATTCTCTCTTATTATAAGTAATAGGATAACTATATTTGGTATGTGCGTACCTTGCAAGGTCCTCATGCCCGTCAGACAGTTTTCACTTGACCTCGACCTCATTTCATTGATCAGTGAACAAGGTTAAGTTTTGGTGGTCAAGTCCATATCTCAGATACTATAAGCAATAGATCTTGTATATTCGGTGTATGGAAGGACTGTAAGGTGTACATGTCCAACTGGCAGGTGTCATCTGACCTTGACCTCATTTTCATGGTTCAGTGGTTATAGTTAAGTTTTTGTGTTTTGGTCTGTTTTTCTTATACTGTATGCAATAGGTCTACTATATTTGGTGTATGGAATGATTGTAAGGTGTACATGTCCAACTGGCAGGTGTCATCTGACCTTGACCTCATTTTCATGGTTCAGTGGTTATAGTTAAGTTTTTGTGTTTTGGTCTGTTTTTGTTATACTGTATGCAATAGGTCTACTATATTTGGTGTATGGAATGATTGTAAGGTGTACATGTCTAGCTGGCAGGTGTCATCTGACCTTGACCTCATTTTCATGGTTCAGTGGTTATAGTTAAGTTTTTGTGTTTTGGTCTGTTTTTGTTATACTGTATGCAATAGGTCTACTATATTTGGTGTATGGAATGATTGTAAGGTGTACATGTCCAACTGGCAGGTGTCATCTGACCTTGACCTCATTTTCATGGTTCAGTGGTTATAGTTAAGTTTTTGTGTTTTGGTCTGTTTTTGTTATACTGTATGCAATAGGTCTACTATATTTGGTGTATGGAATGATTGTAAGGTGTACATGTCTAGCTGGCAGGTGTCATCTGACCTTGACCTCATTTTCATGGTTCAGTGGTCAAAGTTAAGGTTTTGAGTTTTGGTCTTTTTTTCTAATACTATATATGCAATAGTTCAACTATATTTGGTGTATGGAAATATTTTATGATCTATATGTCAGTCACGCAGGTTTTATTTGACCTTGACCTCATTTTCAAGGTTCATTGCTCAGTGTTTAGTTTTTGTGTTTTGGTCTGTTTTTCTTAAACTATAAGCAATAGGTCAACTATATTTGTTGTATGGAAGATTTGTTAGCTGTACATGCCTGCCTTGCATGGTTTATCTGACCTTGACCTCATTTTCATGGTTCATTGGTCAATGTTTAGTTTACTTGGTTAATGTTAAGTTTATGTGGCAGTTGTAATAAAGCTTTATATTTAGGACTATCAACATAATATCAATGATTAGTAAAGAAGGCGAGACATTTCAGCGTGTGCACTCTTGTTTTAATTTACGTTAGTGTTTAGTTAATTGTAATTTACAGTTGGAATTTGCATTTCATTCTGGTTGACCAAAGTTTCATGTAGTTATGGTCCTTGGACTTGAATTTTATGAAAATTGTACTGGTCCAGACTTTTTGTGTAATGCCTGTAGACATGGCACTGAGTTTTGGTGTATTAGTGTATAGTGTTGACATACACATGCAGTTTGCATTTCATTTTGATTGACCCAACTTTTTCAAATAATTACAGCCCTTGTCCTAACTTATTCAAACATCTCATCCTTTCCAAGAATAGTGTTGCCACTCATGCTTGAATATGAAATTTTTGTTTCAATACTATTTTGAACTAAATGAGCACCAGAGTTGTACGTGTATGTATGTTTATTACAGGGCAGCAAATCATCAGGTTACCAGATGGAAGATTGCAATTACTCACAATGCCACAGAACCAGCAAACCACACAGGCAACCACTCAAGTATCATCCACTCCACAGATAGCTGTGCAGAAACCAACTTCTATACTAGTCAATTCTCAATCATCAGCACTACCTACAGCAGGATCAACTCCACAACTTGTCATCACATCAAACCAAGCAACCCTCACATCACCGTCTAGAGTCCTTATACCCTCTAGCCAACTACAGTCTAATGTCTCAGGATCAGCTGGTGTGGTTCTAGCTAAACCCATGACAGTAGCTACAGCTGCAACTCAGATCAGACAACCTGGCCAAATAACAGTGGTATCTCAGGCAGCAGCACCCGGTCAGATTGGCCTGACTGGTTCTCCAATGAAGACTATAACTGTAGCTAGGCCTGCCACAGCTTCAGCTAGCATAGCAAAGATAGGTGGTACTCCAGTAATCATTTCTCAGTCTGGTGGAAGTACTGCTCTTTCTGTAGCTAGTGCTACATCTTTGACAAATGCAGCCTCATCAGCCATCAGACAAGTGATCATGACAACACCACAAAGCACACCTGTAAAAGTATCTCCAGCACCAGGAACTGTTATAAATGCCAACACAGCAGCAGCATTACTTCAGGTAAAACATAGCAACAAAATAGTAGTGTTTAGCTTTTTTTGTCGAGCCTTCGACTTTAGTCGAAAAAGCGAGACATAGCGATCCTACATTCCGTCGGTGTCGTCGTCGTTGTCGTCGGCGGCGTCCACAAATATTCACTCTGTGGTTAAAGTTTTTGAAATTTTAATAACTTTCTTAAACTATCCTGGATTTCTACCAAACTTGGACAGAAGCTTGTTTATGATCATTAGATAGTATCTAGAAGTTAATTTTGTAAAAATAAAATTCAATTTTTTCCGTATTTTACTTATAAATGGACTTAGTTTTTCTGCCGGGAAATATTACATTCACTCTGTGGTTAAAGTTTTTAAAATTTTAATAACTTTCTTAAACTATCCTGGGTTTCTACCAAACTTGGACAGAAGCTTGTTTATGATCATAAGATAGTATCCAGAAGTAAATTTTGTAAAAAAAAAAAATCCATTTTTTCCGTATTTTACTTTTAAATGGACTTAGATTTTCTGCCAGGAAACAACACATTCACTCTGTGGTTAAAGTTTTTAAAATTTTAATAACTTTCTTATACTATTTTGGATTTGTACCAAACTTGGACAGAAGCTTGTTTATGAACAAAAGCTAGTATCTAGAAGGAAATTTTGTAAAAAAATTAATCCATTTTTTCCGTATTTTACTTTTAAATGGACTTAGATTTTCTGCCAGGAAACAACACATTCACTCTGCGGTTAAAGTTTTAAAAATTTTAATAACTTTCTTATACTATTTTGGATTTGTACCAAACTTGGACAGAAGCTTGTTTATTATCAAATGCTAGTATCTAGAAGGAAATTTTGTTTTCTTCCAGTTAACATTACATTCAGTCTGCAGTTAAAGTTTTTAAACATTTATTAGATTCATAAACTATCCTGGATTTTTACCAAACTTGGACAGAAGCTTCTTACAATCAAAAGATATTATCAAGAGGAATATTTTTATTGATTTACTTCCTCATTTTTGTTGAGCCTGCGATTAACAGAAAAAGTAGGCGAGACACTGGGTTCCGCGGAACCCTTACAAATTTTTTTTTATATATTCTTTGTCATGTAAAAATTCTGCATACATCTTAAAAATAATTGAAGTCATATGCAGCCATATACAGTGTCTGTATAATATAAAAGAAATAGATGTGGGTTATATGCCATATATGGCAATGAGACAGCAGTCCAATTACACCAACAAAAAACATGACATATAAAGGTCAACTCTCTGTCTTCAATAGTTCACCTATACCCTTCATTGATGTCTTTGAATATTGTCCGTCTCTTGTTATTTTTGTAACGTGGCTGTCAAGCATAAAATGTCTAAAGATGTGGGATAAAAGACCCGAAAACGCAAGATAAACAGATTATCGGGTTTTCTTCTTATAGATATAGTAAAATATCAGCCATTTGACACAATGTGAAGCTTTTTGGCTTGTGGTTGATATTTAAGATATCAATGTGCAGAAAACCAGATTATCTATATATATCCACAATGTTGAATCAGATGGATGCTAAGAAAGTATTGTCACAAATACATGTGTACACCTATACACAGATTTGATTACTTTGAATTTGGAAATTATAGGCTAGACAGCTCCAGATTAGGCAGCAACAAGTCCTACAGCAAGTTCAACCACAACAGGTAGTACAGACCGCCCAACAAAATGTGACATCACTGTTGACACAACAACCTAGACCAGCATTACCCGTGTCAGCTGCTGGTAATACTAAATATGCTGTTACTCCACAAGTTGTTCAACAAGGTATAGTTATTGTTTAATTTACAGATGTGTTAAGTAATGTCTATATATAAATTGTAATGACATATTAGATAAAATCACTGTTACTATAAGATTAAACAAGAATTTGATTAATTTGTCCCAGATAATTTGCATAATCACCAGTTCATTAATTTAAACCATGATATATACTATCTAGTTATTTAAATTATCTAAATCAACTAAGAAGTTCATTCTTAAAAATCAGACTCTGTCTCAAAATAATCATGTTTATAATAGTACAGATGCCGAAAATATGAAAATGTGTAAAATAAAACCGCTCAAACAAAATTTTAATCCAGATTTATGCAAGTGAAATTTTTCAGCATTTTGACATTTAAATAATTCGTCTTCACTAAATAAATCAACTTCAAAGAGTTGCACTCAAGTGTACCACACATAGTATAAAGTTAAAGTTACATGTTTTCAGAAATTTTTATTCTTTATTTCTGAATAATTTTGGAGTTAAAATTGTCAGTAAAGGTAAGTTGAATTTCAAAGTTATACTGTATTTACAAATAAATCATTCTTATTAGAATTTCTTTCATTGGTTTACTCTTAGACCATGTTAAAACTGCTTCTGTTACTTACAAATATAATAATTCAATAGAAGAAGAAAAAATAATGCACTAAGATTCTAATGTACTTATTCAAATTTAGGATGTTCAACATAAAAAAAACACATTATCTATAAATTAAAGAGTGAAAATTAGTACATGAAAAAAATATTTTTCAGTTGTGAGACAAGCTCTTATGCAGAACCAGACTCCTGAAATTCAAGCTAAACTACTTGCTATGCAACGTTCAATGGTAACCAAGCCACCCACCCCAACAATTACAACTATTTCTCAACCAATGGATGATGATATGGACGAGGATTCAATGTCTTCATTTGATAGTTCTGTGGAAGAATACAAACCTAAGTTTGGGAAAACAGCAGAAGTTTCTAAAGAATCTAGAGAAGATCAAATGAGGTATAAAACTGTTTTTACTGTTTTTATGCACCACCTAGGGGCATTATGTTTTTCAGTCTGTGTGTCCATTCGTCCGTCCATTTGTCCGTCTGTCCCGCTTCAGGTTAAAGTTTTTGGTCAAGGTAGTTTTTGATGAAGTTGACGTCCAATCAACTTGAAACTTGGTACACATGTTCCCTATGATATGATCTTTCTAAATTTAATGCCAAATTAGAGATTTGACACCAATTTCACAGTCCACTGAACATAGAAAATGATAGTGGGAGTGGGGCATCTGTGTACTATGGACACATTCTTGTTTATATAAACTGTTAAAGCATGCATCTTTAGATTGAATTAGTTTTCCTTTTAAACTGTAGATTCAGCTTATATAATGTCAGATTAACAATTTAATAAAAAAAAACATTGCTAATGATTGGTCATGAAATTTTCTCATAAACATGATGTTCAAATGAAAAAGGTACCTCAAATATGCAAAAATCAAACTGAAAGTATCTTGAAAAGTAAGTCATGAAGGTAACTTTTTCCTTGCATATTTTGAAAGTGGATATCAAAAGTGTGATATCAAAATTGTTTGTCAAAAATTTCATGAAAAATTTTCAAAAAAAGAATTCATGTAAATTCCCTTCTTATTGTTTGCCATTAAGCAAAAATAGTTCCTTTGATATATATATATATGTATATTGTCAATTTACAGTGCTGTGGATTCATCATTATTTATGGATTTTGTGGGTAAATGTCTACAAAAAATTCAAGTTTCCAAGAAAATACAATTTTTATGCCAACACCCAAGCGGAGGGGGCATTAAGTGTTACCCTTGTCGGTCTGTACCTTCATCCAGCCGTCCGTATGTCTGTATGTCCCAAAATTTCTGTTCTCTAACTTTAGTTTGCCTCAACCAAATGTTATGAAACTTACACACAATGCTTATTACCACAAAACACAGACCAAGTTTAATTTTGTTTGCATTACTTTTGTCTTTCTTGAGTTATGTCCCTTTATAACATTACATGCAAGCGGGGCATCATCCGTGTCCAATAGACACATTCTCCATTTTTTCCTTAATCTAAATTGCTTCCCACAAAAATAACTGCTTCCACAGTATTAATTATATTGTTTTCTCATACACCCAATATTCCTTCTATTCTAAGTTATACATTTTGTACATTGATGTTTATAGAAAGATGGTGTGTAATCAAGTAATAAGATCCATTGTTGATAAGATTGAAAGAAAGGAAAAGGAAGCCATGCGTAAGGTGAAGAAACAAGAATTAGAGGACGAAAAACATAAAAAGTTGTTAGCAGCTAAATTACAGCAAGCATTGTTTAAACATAAAGAAATTGTGAAGAAGGACATCCTTAAAAAGAGAGCTTTGATGGAGAAAAATCTACAACAAGATATCCAGGTAGGCAAATGAAGAGAAGCATAATTCTTTATAGATATTTTTTTCCAGGTCTCATCTATATTTCTATGCACTGCCTGCAATAGTAGGGGCATTATGTTTTCCAGTCTGTGTGTCTGTCTGTCATTTGGTCTTTCCATTTGTCTCAGTTTGGCCTCAGGTTAAAGTATTGGTATGAGCTTCATGTATTTTAGGATGAACATGTAGTTACACTATCTTGAAACTTAGTACACATGTCTATTATGATGTGAAGTTTTCAAAATATATTCAGAATGAAGTGTTTGACCCAGATTTTCTGTTCGCGGAATATGAAATGTGATAGTTCTATTGAGGCATTGTGTCCTATGGACACATATTTTTGTTTTTAGTGGGAATAGAAACCATTGACAATATATTTGATTATATTTCACATAATATTTGTACAGCACTGATCAGTTACACTTTATGCTTGTGTAATTTAGTTAAGTTGAACTTTAATAGAAAAACAAAGGATATGGGGTATCCATCCATGACACAAAATCAGTACATGCACAGCAAAAATACACACAAAAAGCAAAGAAACAGAGCTTTTATTGTTGTTCTTCATCTTCAACTTTTAAGGTTACTTACAAACACACCTGTATGATACATTAATGATTAGTCACAGCGTCAATCCTCCTCTTGTATGATACAAACATTTGTAAAACATTTAGTTCTTTACTTTAGATCTTCATTTTGGTATGTCAGTATTGAGTTCGACCAATTATTTAAAATAAGGAGATGTGGTATGATTGCAAATGAGACAACTTTCCACCAAAGACCAAATGCCGACGATGTAAGCACCTTTAGATCAACAAAACCGATACTGCATACCTATTGAGCTATAAAAGGCTATAAAATAACTACTTTATTTTAAATATTGTAAAACAAGGTTCAGGTCCCTATGGTAAATTATGTATTTAGGTTGATTTTGTAGCTTTTCCAATATGCCTTTTGCAGACAAGACATCCAGGTTTTACAACCAATTCATATAGTAATCATAATATTATAGCTTGAAGTTGCTGCAGAATTGAAGAAGAGGCCAGTTCAACAGCAGATTCCAACTAAGCAGCTGAAAGTATCCCATGGTATACCTCAGCAGACAATCCAGACTCCTATCCAAGATGTACCCCCATTACAGCCTCCTCCCTCTAAACGTAAGAAACAGAAGGTGATATCTACTGGAGGAGGTAGAGCATTAAATCCCAAAGAGAAGTTATACTGTGTGTGTAGAACACCCTATGATGACACCAAGTAAGTTTCCTAAGTTAATTACTGTAAATTCAGGAATTATCGCCTGCCTATTATTACATTTTTGACATGACAGACCAAAATGTGAGAATAATTATTGTGATTACAGGAAAAGCTGCATACAAATACATGTGACCGATTTTAGAATGTGAGTTATTATTGTGATATTTCAAAATTAAAACCTCTCAATAATTTCTGAATTTGTTTTTGCATACCAATTTTCATTGATATCTGATTTTGTGGTTTTGCCAAAGTCTGCATATAAGCTTATAAAAGTTTTGAACTTCTTTGAACATTTAAATTTGTGGAACCACCTATACAACCTACGAAGTCCACAAAAAATGGTATTCCATGAATAATAATGATTACACAGTAACAATGTTGGAAACATTTTTCCCCCCAAAAAGAAGGTTGTTGGTTGCTAATTAAGAAATCCATTACATCTGAATTATTTGAGTGTGTTCTTAGTGAAATGTATGTTTACTACTTTGTAGGTGAACCTTGAACTCTTTATTAGCTATGGTTAATGAACAAACAAACTTTATTTCAGGTTTTATATTGGATGTGACCTGTGTTCAAACTGGTTCCATGGTGGTTGTGTAGGTATATCTGAAGGAAAGGCCAAGACCGTTGACTCGTATACCTGTCCTGATTGTAAACGTCAACAAGAGAATACGACAGAAGAACTGTATTGTTTATGTAAAACACCATATGACGAATCACAGTTAGTTTTTATCAGAAAATTGTAATCAAGGAAATTATAATTCCATCTGTTTCAGAAAATATCACTTCTGTGGATTCATTTATTTTCATGGATTGAGGAAAAATTGTATTTTCGTGGATAATTTGAGTTCGTGCATTAGCCAAAGTCTTTAAACAAACCTATAGAGAATTTGTACTTCCTGGGACATTAAATTCATGGTTTATCTATTCCAACAAAATCCATGAAAATTGATATCCCACAAATGATAATGAATCCACAGTAATTGTTGTTATGATAAAACATATAAAAAAAAGTTCATCTGTTTTGATGACGAAAATACTACTATAGAACATATAGAATCTGGTTTAAATACATTTATCACATCTTTTATTCAGGGTCCATAATAATTTCTAAAATGATAATAATAAAAGTGTATCTGCCGGCATAGTCTTCTGGTTCTATACTAACCTGGAATGCATGCCATTGTGTGGTCAATCAAAGACTTTGCTGTTTTTCTGCTAAACAAAAAACGCATTAGAAAAGACTGCTTAGTTAGGAGTTAAAGTGTCCGAAGATACGCAACATATTTTCCTTAAAACTATCCACTTGTCTGTGTCCCAAGATACGCGACATATTTTCCTTAAAACTATCAACTCGTCTGCTAGTACATTTTATATTCAGCTCAATGTGTGGGTCTAGGATTGTAAGCACATGAATATGGTGAAGATGATCCACTGGCTGTTTTGTACCCTTCTATCCGCAAAGAATGCCGTTGGAAATAATCTACTTAACTGGCTAGTCCTTATTTTCACCTTACCTAACATAATGCTGTTAGGTGATCATTCTTTAGAGTCTATCCATGCCCATATCAAGCAATTTATTAATAATATATACTAAGGTATTTAAGTTACAAATTGATCTATATGTGTATAACCATTCATGAACAAAAGCAAACTATTTTATTAAAATTTACATAAGCTGCAGTAATAGTGCATGACTATCTATTCTACCTACAACTATTGACAAAGGTAGATAACTCCAATTTGACAATATTTCCTAAATTTATTCCATTGCTTAATACTATGCAAAATCATATTTCAAAATTTCTATTTAAAATTGAAATGGAAAGAAAGGATATGGTCTATTAATTCATGATACACAATCCCAAAACACTCTTTATTGTAACAATATCTTATATAGGACATCAGCTTATTGAGAACGTAAATTACAAACAATGGATTTATTTTTCAGGTTCTACATTGGATGTGATAGATGTCAAGACTGGTTCCATGGTAAATGTGTTGGGATATCTGAGAAAGAAGCCAGCAGTTTGGATGTTTATCTATGTCCTAAGTGTAAACAGCAAGACAAAGAAGATCCTTTATCCAGTAAAATACTCACAGATAGTGATTATGAGCAGCTCAAGAGATTAGTCAAAAGTTTACAGGTACATAATGCATTTTGTAACAAATACAGATACAAATGCAATGTATGATAGCCATTTAATGAGAAGTATGTATGTAAAAAGGGAGATATTTTTTTTTAAGGTTGAGAGAAATCACAAAATCTAATTATCAATTTGTTTGAAAAAAGCAGATTATCAAGTTTTGTATTTTTAAATATACAATTTGTAAAGCTCGAACCTTAGATGCAAGGAATAATATTACAAATACTATATATACTTTATATCTATTACTTGCTAAAGTACAAATTTATTATTGACATCATTGTAATCAAAAAAATTATTTATGTTGTACTATAAAGAATACTGTACAATTTATTTTCAGTCACACAAGATGGCATGGCCTTTCCTGGAACCTGTTGATCCCAATGAAGTACCTGATTACTATACAGTGATAAAAGATCCTATGGGTAAGTTGCCTAAATGCTAAACTGATGTCAATATACAAATAAGTAGACATGATTGCCAATGAGACAACTATCCACCAAAGTTCAAATGAAGTGGATGTAAGCAATTATATTTTATGTTATATTTTTTGGCCTTCTTTTACTTTAGTGGTCCCAACCCATATAGATCTTACCCTAACCCATAACTAACTATTAACAGTAGACCTAACCTTAACATAGAACATCCCCAAACCTAACCCTAAGTAAAACAGAGCCTATTTTTAAAGCCATTGCATTTATGCCATCGCATATGGCCATCTTTGTGATGCAAATCAGAGACTCCGCCCAGATCAAGCCATAGTATTTTGTTAAACAGGCTCCTGGTCTGTCATTCTTAAACACCTATGTATGTTTTCTAATGCAATACATAGCTTGAAACTTTTGAAAAACATTAGTGGATTAAAGAGGTTTCAGCATATGTTCTTGTAGATGTATTTTTGTATTTAGGGGGACAACCGTTTGACTATAAAAAAAAAATAGAAGTCCGAGTGAAAAAAAGTGCATTTTTATACCTGCGATTCCGTTCTCCTTTGGTACGATGTTTCAACAAAATATCGAATCATTTCAGTTGTTGATTTAGTATTGAAAATTTTACTGAATTATCTCTTATTAAATACAGTTTTATATGTTTAATTGGTGTTTCTCTAAGAAAGAGGCCAGGTGCTCTTGTTCATTCATAAAATTATCGTTCATTCATAAATTTATCGTTCATTCATAAATTTATCGTAAAATCAAAATCACTACACAGGTTATACGTAGTGTCAAATGATAACCTGTAATCTAAAAATAGACAAACTTAACTGACCTATTTTGTTGATTTGTTTGCGCAAATAATTTAGCGGAACGAAACCCTTGTTAAAAACACATAACAAGTTCGTTTTCCTTTTTTGTCATAACTCCATAAGATTTATCGATCACCTTACTAATGAAATTGTTCCCGTCAAAACGTGATAGATGCCAAGTCCAGATGAAGAGATATTTACAATTTGGATTATTCTAGTTTCATAGATTGAAAAAAAGTACGTCCTTTTGGATATCATAATCAAAACTGGGTATGCATGACAAATGATGAAACCATTATCCTCGTCTTTCCAGTGGACGAGTCTACTACGTGTGTTGACACTTGATGGTCCACCGTGTTTGCAATTTTATTTCACGTTTTCATAATATTGAAGATCATTTTTCGCAATGTTTCCTGAAAACGATAAATATCAAAGCAACGAAGAGCTGTTTGTTCTTGTTCGTATAATGACGATTTAATGTCATGTTTGTCTGTGATTATGTAACAGTGGTTTGATTCCGCCAGTGTACTTTATCCGGAGGAAGAAAATCCCCAGTGATTTTTATCCACCAACAAAAATTCACTAGGTTTTTCTATCCGGGTCTAGTGTAAAACATCCACCAGTCATTATAAGGTTCTATAAAGGTTTTTTTGAAGGGGAAATATATATATAAAATGTGGCTTAATAGTTTTTAGTGTATTTGAAACTTGCATAGCTGATTTATATAAAAAGTGGAGAGTTTTCATCCAAGGAATGTTCACACTAGTGTTTTTGAACCAGGAATGATTACACTAGTGATTTTGTACCTGAATGATTGCACTAGTTATTTTATACCCGGATTAATTACACTAGTGCTTTAGATCCATACATTGATGAAGTGATTAGTACTCTTTTTGAACATACGATAACACAATAATGCTTATTAACGAATAAGATTTAAATAATTTTTCTATGCAAATCTATAAAATCATATGCTTTTAAATTGTCACTAATTGTAATATTTATATTTATTGGATTGCCGAAGTTTTTCTGTGTATTTGCTCTTCGGTCGATTTGGATATAAAATCATATCTTCTTTGTCAATATTAAAGGATGCTTCTATAATTGAAACTTTATGTAAGAACAAATCTGCTCTTTAAATTTGGTTTATATCAAGTTCAATGTTCTGATCATTGATAAAGTATTTTGAGTTATAAAAATATCCTCCTCGTCATCATCAATATTATTTACTAGATTGACTCAGATTAATTAAACTGGTTCCTTGAAAATTATTTTAATTTTAACCCATTTATTTATGTAAACAATAAACTGGTCTAATATAAACAAAACAACAATATCAAGATCGACACTTTCACACTATTTACATCCAATATTCTCTAGTGAAAAACAGTTACCCGGAATAAATACACGGCGGAATGAAAGTACGCTTACAATGACCCCCCTTTTCGGGATTGCATGAGAATTATAGTTATCTCGTACCGCATGAGGATGACACATATCAACTGAGCAATAATGTTTGGGACTTAGTTTTAAGAAATGAAGACAAAGTAACATTATGAAAATATTTTTAGTAAGCTGAAATATATATTTATTTTTTACATGTTTATGTCTTGTAAGATATTTTATTTCTTTCCCGTTTTTCAACATTTGCGTCTGGAAAGTTGAAATGTTTTAATTGAATGGTTAAATTTAAATTAATTATGGTTATTGTTAAAACTAAATAAATAAAGGAAATTGTTGCCCATTTACAAACACTACCAGGGGATAATTTCTTTTTGAGTTATATGTTTCAGCACATGTAAATTTGACCCCAACTTAAGCCTGGTAAACGTGTTGTCTCCTTGTGAAATATAAAACATATCAAAAATGACTTTCTGCTAAAGTCTTTTATTGATATAAAGTTTAAACCTTCTTACTTCTCACTAGACAACACTCCTGTCAGGTTTAATTCTTATATATATGTGGATGAAAAAGTCCCCAAAACATTAACATGGCAGCAATTGCTTTTACAGCCTTTAAGGCTTTGATTGATTATGTTACACTATATATGAATATGTGTAATGCATCATACATGTATCAATTTTTCATTTCTTTTTCTTCAGATTTAACAACAGTTGAAAGGAGAATACAGAACCGGCATTATGTGAAATTGATAGAATTCATTAAGGATATTACAAAGATATTTGACAATTGTCGATTATACAATACACCTGATACACCATTTTATCAATGTGCTGAAGTCTTAGATACTTTCTTTGGACAAAGAATTAAAGCCTTAAAGGGTCGATTGGGTAGTAAATAGTATATTTTCTTCATTAATGTTCATAGGCTGTACAAAGAAATCAAGCGCTGTCATATTGAGATTCTGCGGTAGTTATTATTAGAATCGGTACTCTGTAATACATATCAGTTGAAATACCGTGAATGGTATTTACTTCCGGTCAGTAAATTGTCAGGTGATTTTTGTCTTCTTTTTTGTTTGTTATTTGCTGCTTTTTTTCAACAAAAACCTCCGATTAGAATAACCAATGAGATACATGACCTTTGATTGATTTGTTCTGTGTCACATTTAAACCACAAAATTAAGAAACATATAAGTATTTTAAACAGAAAAGTACAAATATATTTGTAAAACCCTGAGTTGAAGTATTTTCACTGTAAATGGTTGCTTTTATAATTATTCAAACTGAGAAGTCAACTGAATGTAGTATGGTGGTATAAGCAAAAAAAAACAGAATTATTTCATGAAAAATCTTGACAAAAGTAAGACTAAAAGTAAAAGTAGAAGAAACGTTCTGAGATTTTCTTTCAAAGGTGGGGACTTTTAAAAGTATTATGCTGAAAGTTTTAATAGAACAAAAATGGAGATTCCTTTATAATGAGAATGGGTTGAGATGGATGATACATGTATACCTAGAGACAAACAACATATCTGTAGAACAGATGTTGTTTGATAATTCTGTAAAAATGCCAAGAGTGGAATTATGTAGTCTAATTGAAGAGTTAGCAAGTATCATTATCTTGCTTACTACACATTCAGTTTACATGCAGATAGGTGTTGGTGTCATCTGCATTCTTGGATGTTCTGTTTTCCATGTATGTATTGGATCTATTCCTTAAAAGACATTTTTCACTGGGAACTTAAGCAGCAGATTTTTGGAGTTAAAAACAGTTACCGGTATATTTAAGTAAAATTTATTTATGAGCAAAATGGAGAAAAGTCTCGCAGTAATGAAGGGAAATTGAATAATGTGTAATTAAAAAGGTCAAAGAAAGCAGCAGGGTTAAAGGGCAGCTATAGTAGAGAACTATCATGCATTGTATTAGCTTGTGTAGTTGAGGTTTCTCTGACGTCTGACAGCCTATTTTTTTTTTATTGCTGTGATAGAAGGATGTCAGCTCATTCCATATAGAAAACATGGAAATCACTGGCTGAGATTTAGGCTGGCAAATTTCTGATTCAAAATTGTGAAATATCCATGCCATTCAGGCTTTGTTAAGCAGATAAACCATAAATGACTTTCCTTATTCCTTTTTCTCTATGAATATTTACCTTTTATTCACAGAATATCCCCTTGAAGCCCAAACAAAAATCTTTATTCCCCTCAACCCTTTGTTTTTGGCTACATGATTTAACTTTGAAAAGGTTGTTACATGCTTGCCATGTGCATAGAATTTTTAAAGTAAATTTATGCATATGACCCTGGTGACCTGCATATATATTAGTAAGATTTGTGTCTTTATCAGGTCTTTTGTTTGAAAACATAGATCATTTACATAAATGAGCTTCCATAATTACAAGTTCTTTGAGAAGCAAGATAGCAATATCTTTGAGAAAACGAAAGTATATCGCTTGAAAAAAGAAGTTGAGGGGAATAAAGTTCTTGTTCTACAAGAGGTAGTCTGTGAATTAAAAGAACATAGTTGTCGAGAAAAATGAGAAAGGACAGAAATGGTTATGGTTTATCAGCTTGACAATGGATTTATTCAGATTTTAAGACAGAAACTTAACATCCTAAGACTGGTTCTGAAATTTCCATATTGATTATATGGACTTCTCACGGACGCCCACTGCCCCAGCAAGTTCAAAATAGGCTGTCAGACTTCAGAGCAATCTCAGACTAGAGATTGTGTTAGTATCATGTTGTAACTATATCCATTAATTTGTACAAAACTTTGCATGAATCAAATGTATCATAAGGGGCCATCTTTTGTTTCTTTCCATGTTGTAAAAGACTATCTACTTATCATACAACTATTATTGTAAAAAAAGATTTCTTAGTCATTGTAAATATTTATCATAAACAATGGTGATGCATATACAATATATACATGTTGTAAAGAATTTGTTAATGTATAAAGTGCTGTTGGTGGGGTCAATGACATTTAAAACCTTTAAAATTTATGTGTCAAATACGACATAGATATTTATATTGTAGTTAGATTGTAGTTTTTATTAAACTGACTTTTTGTCCATCCTGTGTTGCTGCTGACATTTCATGGAATTGCAAGCACATGTTCCAAAAAAATGGATTTAAAAAGGTGATTGTAATAAAATTTTAAGACTGAACATGACACAGAAAATGTAATTTTTTTGAAATCTTAGTTAAAATTTCAGAATATGAAATCAATTTTTCTTCTGTAAATGACATGAAATGCTATTGGTTAATTCCAGTCGTGAAGTGTAGTGCTTGATTGTTGTTTCATTTTTTTATTTTTTTTTCAATTTCTATCATTTTGATTAAATAAGTTTTTGTTATGAACTGCAATCTTTTCATTAATTTTTTATTTCATACATGATTTCATCATTGATTCAAATTAATAGATTAACACATTATTTGTAAATTGAATCATATTTTAATATAATAATTTATTGTCATCATATCTTAGCATTTGATACATAGTATTTATTATATGTAAACAAAATTAATTTTAAATGTCTTAGAAGATCTGAGGTTTAGAAAATTCTGTATAAATGTGTTTATTCATTGAATAAACGTAGAAGACATGGTACATTTAGTTTTCATTTGTCCAGAAAAATATAGTTTTACTTTGTTCCCTGGAAAGAGAATTTTACCATGTTTGTGGAATCTTGCAAGATTCTTTGTTCACTCATTCTGGTTTTATTTTGTTTTCATATTTTTCATATGAAATGCCATAAATTTGTATTAAAATATTACATTGGTGTAAATTTTTCAGATGTTTATCTGAAAAAAAACCAGAAGTAAAATTGCCATAATTAAACCCCCTTTTGTTTGTTTCATGGACAACACTAAATGGGATTTTAGCAAATTTTGTTGTTTCAAGAAATAATCTTGTATCATTTTGTGTCTACTATGCAGATTTTTTTTGTCCATAAAATATCAACATATCTGGATTGTCTTGCATTTCATGAATTGAATATCCTGTAAATAATGAATTGCCTCTGTGGTCTTATGGTAGTAGCTCCCCAATGCTGGTTTGATACCTGGCAGGTCAAATCAAGACTTGAAAATTGGTATTTGCTGCTTCTCTGCTTAACATGTGACATTTAGAAACAAGAGCAAAGACTGGGCTGGTGCGAGTCAGAAAAATGTGTCAGAGTAAGGTTACATGTCTTCCTGGGAATTGTTTTCTTGTTCAGCTTGTCAGTCTAGTACAAAGCAGGGTTTTAAGGGCTATTCCATTAAAATGTATGTGGGAGGGTAGGAAGGGACTTTCAAAACATCCCTACAACCAAGAACCATTTTTATACGACTGCAAAAAATTTTGCGGTCGTATATTGGTATCACGTCATCGTCGTCATCAGCATCGTCCGAAGACATTTGGTTTCCAGACAATAACTTTAGTAAATGTAAATAGAAATCTATGAAATTTAAATACAAGGTTTATAACCACAAAATGAAGGTTGGGATTGATTTTGGGGGTTATAGTCCTAACAGTTTAGGAATTAGGGGCCAAAAAGGGGCCCAAATAAGCATTTTTATACGACCGCAAAAAAATTTTTGTGGTCGTATATTGGTATGACGTTGGCGTCCTCGTTGTCATCCGAAGACACATTAGTTTTCGCACTCTAACTTTTGTTTAAATGAATGGATCTCTATGAAATTTTACCATAAGGTTCAATACCACAAAAGGAAGGTTGGGATTGATTTTGGGGGTTATGGTACCAACAGTTAAGGAATTAGGGGCCAAAAATAAGCATTTTTGTAACTTCCAGACATAACTTGTGTGTTAGTGTATGGATCTCTCCGACATTATTCCACAAGGTTCCATATCACAAAGGGAATGCTGGGATTGATTTTGGGGGTAATTGCCTCCAAATTTTAGGAATTGGGGGTAAAAAAAACATTTTTCTAGTTTCATGACAATAACTTGTGTGTAAGTGTATGGATCTTTATGAAATTGTACTACAAGGTTACATATTACAAAGGGAAAGCTGGAATTGAGTTTGGGGGTAATTGCCCATAACGTTTAGGAATAAGGGGCCAAAAATAAGCATTTTTCTAGTTTCCAGACAATAACTTGTGTTCAAGTGTATGGATCTCTCTGAAATTGTACTGCAAGGTACAATACCTCAAAGAGAAGGCTGGGATTGATTTTGGGGGTAATTGCCTCAAAATTTTAGGAATTAGGGGCCAAAAGGGGGCAAAAAAACAAGCATTTTTCTAGTTTCAGGACAATAACTTGTGTGTAAGTGTATAGATCTTTATGAAATTGTACTACAAGGCTCCATATCACAAAGGGAAAGCTGGGTTTGAGTTTGGGGGTAATTGCCCTAAACGTTTAGGAATTTGGGGCCAAATAGGGGCAAAAAACAAGCATTTTTTATACGACAGCAAAAAAATTTTTCTGGTCGTATATTGGTATGACGTTGGCGTCGTCGTCGTCATCCGAAGACACATTAGTTTTCGCACTCTAACTTTAGTTTAAGTGAATGGATCTCAATGAAATTTTACCATAAGGTTCAATACCACAAAAGGAAGGTGGGGATTGATTTTGGGGGTTATGGTACCAACAGTTAAGGAATTAGGGGACAAAAAGGGGCCAAAACTAAGCATTTTTGTAACTTCCAGACATAACTTGTGTGTAAGTGTATGGATCTCTCTGACATTGTACCACAAGGTTCCATATCACAAAGGGAATGCTGGGATAGATTTTGGGGGTAATTGCCTCCAAATTTTAGGAATTAGGGGGCAAAAAGCGGCCAAAAACAAGCATTTTTCTAGTTTCATGACAATAACTTGTGTGTAAGTCTATGGATCTTTATGAAATTGTACTACAAGGTTCCATATCACACAGGGAAAACTGGAATTGAGTTTCGGGGGTAATTGCCCAAAAAGTTTAGGAATTAGGGGCCAAAAAGGGGCAAAAAATAAGCATTTTTCTAGTTTCCAGACAATAACTTGTGTTCAAGTGTATGGATCTCTCTGAAATTGTACTGCAAGGTACCATACCACAAAGGGAAGGCAGGGATTGATTTTGGGGGTAATTGCCTCAAAATTTTAGTATTTAGGGGCCATAAAAGGGCAAAAAAACAAGCATTTTTCTAGTTTCAGGACAATAACTTGTGTGTAAGTGTATGGATCTTTATGAAATTGTACTGCAAGGTTCCATATCACAAAGGGAAAGCTGGGTTTGAGTTTGGGGGTAATTGCCCTAAACGTTTAGGAATTTGGGGCCAAAAAACAAGCATTTTTCTAGTTTCCAGACAATAACTTGTGTTCAAGTGTATGGATCTCTCTGAAATTGTGCTGCAAGGTACCATACCACAAAGGGAAGGCTGGGATTGAGTTTGGGGGTGATGAATCATAAGGGGGTTCAAAAAATTTGGGGGGGGGGATTTTTTTTTCCTTTTTTTTCTTTAAAATTTACCATTTTAAATTGGTTATTTCTGATTTATATATAAAGCAAATAATAATGATATGGTTTGAATAGGTAAATTAAAATTTTTTAAGTTCTTAGACCACTTTCATTCTGTGTCAGAAACCTATGCTGTGTCAAATATTTAATTACAATCCAAATTCAGTGCTGTATCAAGCTTGAATGTTGTGTCCATACTTGCCCCAACTGTTCAGGGTTCGACCTCTGAGGTCGTATCAAGCTGCGCCCCAGCGGAGCATTTTATCTAGTTTCTAGACAATGACTTGTGTTCAAGTGTATGGATCTCTCTGACATTGTACTGCAAGGTACCATACCACAAAGGGAAGGCTGGGATTGAGTTTGGGAGTGATGAATCATAAGGGGGTTCAAAAAAATGGGGGAGGGGGTTTCCTTTTTTTTCTTTAAAATTTTCCATTTTAAATTGGTTATTTCTGATTTATATATAAAGCAAATAATAATGATATGGTTTGAATAGGTAAATTAAAATTTTTTAAGTTCTTAGACCACTTTCATTCTGTGTCAGAAACCTATGCTGTGTCAAATATTTAATTACAATCCAAATTCAGTGCTGTATCAAGCTTGAATGTTGTGTCCATACTTGCCCCAACTGTTCAGGGTTCGACCTCTGCGGTCGTATCAAGCTGCGCCCAGCAGAGCATTTTATTCTAGTTTCCAGACAGTAACTTGTGGAACGGTGTATGGATTTCTCTGAAATTATACCACAAGTTTCCATACCACAAAGGTATGGTTAGGATTGGCTTTGGGGGGTTATGGCTCAAACCGTTTAGGAATTAGGGGCAAAAAAGGGGGAAAAACAGGGGTTTCCTGGTTAATAGACAATTAAAAAAAAGTACAATGTTATGTTTGGATTACCTCCCTTACACTGCTTTTAAATTATGTATAAAGAAATGTTGTATTGTCTTGTGAGGTGATTAGCTGTCAATTTATTTTTAGAAGTTACTATTTAAAAAATGCTGATTAAGGAATATTAATTTTAGCCATGATTATGTATGTCATTTTCTATTTTAAGACTTTTATGATGTATTTAAATGGGTAATTGTGGTTGCAAACTCCATTGGAAATGACCATATCTTGAGGGAAAGAATTTTTTTTTTTTGAAAAGGGGGGGTGGTAAAAAAGAAATTATGTGTCAAATATTTAATAGCAATCCAAATTCAGACCTGTATCAAGCGCAAATATTTTGTCCATTTTTGCCCCAACTGTTCAGGGTTGGACCTCTGCAGTCGTATCCAGCTGTGCTCGGTGAAGCAATTTATTTTGATTATTTTGCATAATGGTAATAGAAGCATACTGAAAAAAGACCCATGACCAACATTCAATAATTTAACTTCCCTTCCTACCCTCCCACATACATTTTAATGGAATAGTCCTAATAAATAATAACTTCCTGAAAGGCATCAATCTTTGTTCAGACAAATGATATAAAATCAACATGAATATTTTTGAAATATGTTATTTGTGACCTGAGTCTGCATATACAAATGTATAATTATAGATTGATTGATTGTTGGTGTTTAAAGCTACTTTCATCACTATTGGCTATATTGTGCTGGCCAGTTTTTATTGGTGGATGAAACCGAAGTGCCTGGAGAGAACCACAACCCACATTTTGTTATGCTTGGGCCTTTTATAGCTAGGTATACAAGATATGGACTTAGCTCGTTGTTGAAGGTTGTTTAATGAACTGAAGTTGGTCTCTGATGGATAGTTGTCTCATGGGCAATCAGACCACATTTCCTTATTTTTGTATCAATTACCTTATTCGTGAAGTAATGTGGATGGTTATCAAATGTAATATATTATTTTGCTGCAAAGCAGGTGAGACATCTCTCTGTGTTGACAGTTTAATATTTGGATTTCATGGTCAACCTAGGGTCCTGGGTGGCAGAGTAGTTTCACTTGTTCATCTACTGCATCACTAGCCTGTCAGAACTGAGGTTGTGACTGCAAACCCTGCACAGTGCAGATGTGTTCAAATTCAATCTTAATTAAACAGGATTGCTAGTTTTCCTGCCAAAGGTCAGTGGTTCTCTCCAGGTATTCTGGCTTCTTCCACCAATAAAAACTGACTGCCACGATATAGCCAAAAGTGCTGGAAGTGGCATTAAAACACCAACAATCAACCAATCAATGATGGATAACCTCAATCACTTTTCAATACCCAACAAAAAGCATATCTTCAATTGATTTGTTGCAGAAATAACTAAAGTATTAAACTCCAAAATCATGACCCCACAAGTTAGTACAAATTAGTACAAGTTAGTAAAAGTTGAAATGTCCTACAAATACACAAGGTAAGCAGTGTTACCTGAAAGCTGTGAGGGGATCCATATAGTTGAGATTTATCTGAATGTTCATATCTCAAAAGCTATGAACATAGGTGGCATATATATTACTCACAGTATCATTCCGACAAACATGGCATCAAGTTTTTTAGATGCCATCACAAATAGGTTGCCTATTATATGGAAGCATCTCCCTGGTCTCTGGATAGTGTGCTAGTCTCAACTGCTGTTGTAGATCACTGTCCATGTCAAAACGAAGCTATCTAAAACTAGAGAGTGCTGCTGCTTTGCTAAGCACACAGCATTCAGGAGTAAGAGCAAAGACTGGCCAGCTTAAAGTCTGCATTATGTGTCATGTCATCCAGCAGACTGCGACCTTATGAACAAGCACGTTTTAAAATATAACACATGGTTATTGATATGCTTGTAATATTTGCAACTGCAGATCGAGCATACAGGGGAAAACATTAAGTGCTTCAAGCAGAACTGGATATGCTCTTCTTTCACACCCACAACGAGGGTTTAGGTCTGTTTAGACGAACACCCCTCTGATAACAAAAAAAAAAACAAAACAAGTTAAAGATGATTATGACTGTTTAATTTTAGTATTCAAAACTTTGTAAACAATCCATAAACAGCTGCCAAATGTAACAGTTAATGTTCCTATGACAACTAATACTGTATGGTTTGTATTTCCTACTGGTACCTCCACTCGTATATCATTTACATCCTGGAAAAAATATAAAATTTAATGTATCAATTGATTGCTCTATAGATTTACAGAAAATAGCAAACATTGCAATTTTTAACTCAAAACTCTTTATAAAAGAAAATTTTTAAACTACGACTACTGTGGATTCATTTATTTTCGTGGGTAACAATTTTTGTAGATTAAGGAAAACACTGTATTTTGGTTTGTGGTTTTACCAAAGTCTGCATTCAAGCCTATAGAAAATTTGTTCACCTGTTCCCATGAAATCCACAAAAACTGGTATCCCACGAATATTAATTAATCCACAGTATTGTTTAAAACAACTTTTTACAAGATTACTGTGCTCATTGTTGTTGATTCTATTTTGCAGTAAATATGTGAATCTATCAAATTTTGTAAATAATGCCATATATCAAGAATCTATGACTTGTAGTTACTGAGAAAAATGTTTGAAAATTTCATATTCGGGTTGTAGATTATATATTCTTTCTGTGGTCTCATTTATTTTCCAAATTTGTAAAAATTTTTATCCCCAGCTTATTATATTTCTAGGATTTTGATTGGTTAACGCACGTCGTTACAAAACCCATAGCTCCTGGGTGTTGCTAACTCATATACCCGGACGTTGCTATCCATTACAACGGGGAACATCACGCGCGTTTTCCTTAGTTCCATGGTTGTTCCTTGTGGAATATTGAATTCTGTAGATTATCCATAATGTCTGTAATTAAATATTTAATTCACTAACGATTTTATCTTAGCATGCTGATCATTTGCACTTATTTTAGTAAATGCATCACTTGGCTGCTGCATTCTCAATGAATGGGACTACTGACCTAGCTATGCAAATGACCCACGTTGACGTCACACCATCTATGATGTAACTCTCACAACATTGAGCACCAAATTCGACACATTCCAGTTTCTCTGTCTCTGCATTAAAAACGACTTATATTGGACTACCTGTAGGGTTCTACCAAAGGTTGTACCCTACACCCTGTTAAAAATATTTCAAATTCCCAAATTTCAATAAAACATTTTTAAATAATGAAAAAAACCGTTGCTTTCACGTTACACTGTGTGGTCGAATTTCTCTAAAAATCGCCACATTTGGACTAAGACTGGGGATAAATTCGTTATCTACGTTCATATCCGTAGATATGGATATTTTAACACCCTTCAGTACCCTGTTCACCATTTAGCTTCGACTCAGGGTGTACTCGGATACTCAAGGGTGTTAAAATATCCATATCTACGGATAGGGGTTGGGGAGTCCCCGGGTTCACCCCAAACCCTTCTTACTGAAAACTTGTAAACTGTCAAGATCCCCACCCTGAAACCATATATATTCTTGTATGGGACAATATAAAAAATCAACGGATATGAACGTAGATAACTTATAGTATTATCATGTGTATTTGATTTCTTGATTTTGCCAAAGTCTTCATAAAAGACTATAGAAAATTTGTACTTTGTTGAACATTTAAATTCTTGATTAACCTTTACCCATGACATCCACAAAAAAATAATTAATCCACAGTACACTTTTTAACAGAGACTCCATCTTCTACAAATATAGAAAGCTCTTGTTCAGTCATATTTCCAAAACATTACTGCATGTTTAGTTTTTAACTTATCACAGAACAAAAACATTCCCAGTCAAACCAACTAAGGTAGTTTGCAGTTTTTAAACTAAATTTTTTAAATAAAAATTGTTTAAGTATACTTTTCTATTCTGACTTGCCCCAAAAGATTTGTTTATCCATTAATAAAAAAGCATTTCCAATACCATTTTTAACCGGATTTTCGAAGGAAATATCGGTTATTGATTTGGGGATGTACGGCAGGCGGGCGGGCGGACGGGCGGCTGCCAAACAGTGTCTCTTTAATAACATGAAATCGCTGTGATAAATTTAGATATGTTGTTTCTTGTGACTAAATGAAGGTCTAGTTCAATTTTCACTATTTTAGTATTTATCCTTTTTGAGTTATCCCCATTTTTAATATCCAAAAGTGGTATTTTTGAATATTTTTCTCTTGTTATCATATTATGACTAAGCATAGTAAATGTCTTATCTCAAAATTAAAATTGGAGTGACAGATTTATTTGAAAATTTTCTGTTTCCTGATAAGATCTGTAGGACTGTATATATAAAGTTTGAAATTTACTAGAAGGACTGTATAAATGAAGTTTGAAATTTACTGTTCATTATTAGACATTTTGTAGATAATTAAGTCTCCCTAAACCATATATATTCTTACCCCACCCCCTTCAATTTGAGAATGTGCTTTTATCTTGTAAACGGTCGAGATCCCCACCCCTAAATCATATATATTCTTGCATGGGACAATAAAACAAATCAAATGAAATATTGGGGGAGTCCCCAGGTTCAATCCCAACCCCTTTCTTTTTGAAAACTTGTAAACTGTCAAGATCCCCACCCTGAAACCATATATATTCTTGTATGGGACAATATAAAAAATCAAATGAAATAAAAGGCCAGTCCCCTGGGGTCATCCCCACCCTCTCCTGTTTGAGAACTTGTAAACGGTCGAGATCCCCACCCCTAAACCATATATATTCTTGTATGGGACAATAAAAGAAATCAAATGAAATATAGGGGAAGTCCAGAGGGGTCACCCCCACCCCCCCTTCTTTTTGAAAACTTGTAAACGGTCAAAATCCCCACCCCAAAACCATATATATTCTTGTATGGGACAATAAAACAAATCAAATAAAATATAGGGGAAGTCCATGAGGGTAACCCCCCCCCCCCACACTTCTTTTTGATAACTTGTAAACAGTCAAGATCCCCACCCTGAAACCATATATATTCTTGTATGGGACAATAAAACAAATCAAATGAAAAATAGGGGAAGTCAACGGGGGTAACCTCCACCCCCCTTCTTTTCGAAAACTTGTAAACGGTCAAGATCCCCACCCCAAAACCATATATATTCTTGTATGGGACAATATAACAAATCAAGTGAAATATTGGTGGAGTCCGCAGGTTCACCCCCACCCCCCTTCTTTTGAAAACTCGTAAACGGTCAAGATACCCACCCTGAAACCATATATATTCTTGTATGGGACAATATAACAAATCAAATGAAATTTAGGGGAAGTCCCCTGGGGTAACCCCCACCCCCTTCTTTTTGAAAACTTGTAAACGGTCAAGATCCCCACCCCGAAACCATATATATTCTTGTATGGGACAATAAAACAAATCAAATGAAATAAAAGGCGAGTCCCCTGGGGTCACCCCCATCCCCCTTCTTTTTGAAAACTTGTAAACGGTCGAGATCCCCACCCTGAAACCATGTATATTCTTGTATGGGACAATAAAACAAATCAAATGAAATAAAAGGCGAGTCCCCTGGGGTCCCCCCCACCCCCTTCTGTTAAAGAACTTGTAAACGGTCGAGATCCCCACCCCTAAACCATATATATTCTTGTATGGGACAAAAAAACAAATCATATGAAATAAAGGGCGAGTCCCCTGGGAAACCATATATATTCCTGTTCGTCATTTCAAGAAGATTTGAATGACATACAGGGTCAATCCATAGGCGTCACTTATGCAAATCACAAACCAATTTGTACTGGACTTTGCCCAATGTCAGGCGACCATGGGAATGACGAATTATTGGAGCTTTGTTTGGGAGACTTTGTAACAGCATCCTGTTACAATTATTTCTTGTTACTGATAAGTTTTATAGATTTTTAAAAGATTTTGTATTAATGATAAATAAGATTTTGGATTTTTTTCTTCTTTTCTTTGGTAAATTGTTTGAAGAATTTTGTGGCAAGTTTGTTTGTTATTCTGTAAAAACTAATTTTCAGAATGCTATATATTTTTTTTTGATGAAGTGAACTCCTTTAAAAACTAAGCTTATATTGTTTATTAATAAACATATATTTAGATTTCTGATTTTGGGCCCAGTTTTCAAGTTGGTCCAAATCGGGGTCCAAAATTAAACTTATTTACAGTGTTTGATTTCAACATAAATTGAATAAATATAGGGTTCTTTGAAATGCTTAATCTAAACCTGTATTTCTTTAATAAGATAATACCACATTGAGGTCCAAAGGGTCCTTAATTAAACTTTTGTTTAATTTCATCAAAAATTGAATTCTTTGGTTCTTTGATATGCTGATTCTAACAATGTTTGAGTGTTAAATCATATCTAATTTTAGAGAACTTAGTCATCACTGGTTGCTGTTATTATATTATTGATTATAATTTGAAAAATTGCATCATATCTTATTTTAGAAAAATTTTATCCAGTTTGAGTTATTTCCCTTTGCACAGAAAATATTATGGATAAAATTAACCTGTGTTTCATTTCAACATAAATTAAATATATATAGGGTTCTTTCAAATGCTGAATCTAAACCTGTATTTAAATATTAGATTTTTGGGCCCAGTTTTCAAGTTGGTCCAAATCAGGGTCCAAAATTAAACTTTGTTTGATTCAACAAAAATTGAATTTATGGGGTTCTTTGAAATGCTGAATCTAACCATGTATTGAGAGATTTTGGATTGTGGGCTCCTTTATCAAATTGGTCCACATTGAGGTCCAAAGGGTCCTAAATTAAACCTTTGTCTGATTTCATCAAAAATTGAATTCTTGGGTTTCTTTGATATGCTGATTCTAATATTTACTTAGATTTTGGATATTGGACCATGATAGGTAAATGTCCAATTTCAAATATTTCAGTTCTTTGACCATATTCATTTTGTGTCACAAACCTATGCTGTGTCAAATATTCAATCACAATCCAAATTCAGAGCTGTTTTAAGCTTAAATGTAGTGTCCATACTTGCTCAACTGTTCAGGGTTCGACCTCTGCAGGAAAATCCAGTTTGCTGTCACTCTGACAGCCTCTTGTTTATAGATTAGTTGGGAATTGGAATTTATGAAATTGATTTTCCTGAAACCTGAGGTAACACCCTTAACAATCATCATATAGGTTTTCGTACACATCTATCTTGTAAATTCTGATACACAATCAGTTACAAAATCTATAAAATAAATGATGTTATACCTATTACATAGCTGAGGGGATGACATACTTTTGGATATGTGGGATATAGTGGGTAAAAAAAGTGGGGATGTGGGAGATTGCGATTAAAAAAGGGGTGTGTGGTAAATAGGGGGTTAATAAAAGTGGGATCTGAGAAAAAGAAGATAAAAATTACAAAAAAGAGCAAGATTTGGGAAATGAGCACCCCATGAACTCCCAACCCCCTAACTATTAAGTAATAATGCACTTACTGACTTATATTTAATGACATTCCATTCACAAAGAATATCTTCTTTAGGTGTGCATGGTATTTGTTCTGTCCTCATGATTTCTCCAATATAATCTGAAATTAACAAGTGAATATATGTTTGATGATTAGAACTTGATTTATTCAAGGAAAAGATAAACATTTTTTTCTTTTTTACTATATTAGACAAACTTCTTTCTGATTATGACATCAAGAAGATCAACAGTATGCTAGAGCATAGCATGTTAAAAATAAACTGCTTTGCCGAGTGCAGCTGAGTTGGGGCAAAAATGGACACAATATTCAAGCTTGATACAGGTCTGAATTTGGATTATAATTAAATATTTGACACATTATAGGTTTCTGACACAGAATAAATGTAGTCAAAGAACTTGAAATTGGTTGTATGATTTGAATTTATATTCAATTGAAGATTTCTTGCTGTTGTGCAATACACTGTGCTGTTGCGCAATACTTAGTAAATCTGTTTTCAGACTATATACAAAGAATTAGCAAATAAATTGAGACCCCAATTTTATAATATTTGAAGAGAATTTTCTTTTGAGGACCTTCTACTTGTGGTATTGAACCTTGCGGTACAATTTCAGAGCAATCAAAATACTTATACACAAGTTATTGTCCTGAAACTAGAAAAATGCTTGTTTTGGCCCCTTTTTGGCCCCTAAATCCTAAACAGTTGGGACCATCACCCCAAAAACAATCTCAACCTTCCTTTTGTTGTATTGAACCTTTTGCTTATATTTCATAGAGATCCGTACACTTAAACTAAAGTTATTGTCTGGAATCCAAATGTATGATTTGAATTTATATTCAATTGAAGATTTCTTGCTGTTGTGCAATACTTAGTAAATCTGTTTTCAGACTATATACAAAGAATTAACAAAATAATTTGTGACCCCAAATTTTTTCTTGAAAAAAAATTGACCCCCCCCAAAAAATTTTTTTTTTTACCCCCCTCCAAAAAAAAAAAAATTTGAAGAGAATTTTCTTTTGAGGAAAAAAAAAATTGCCCCCCCCCCCCCCCCCCCCCAAATTTTTTTTTTTTTGTTTGTTTGTTTGTAAAATGTGGTACAAATTAAGAGACATCCATACACTTAAACACAATTTATTGTCTGAAAACTAGAAAAATGCTTGTTTTAGACCCTTTTTGGCCCCTAATTCCTGAACCGTTTGGGCAATTACCCCCAAAATGAATCCCAACCTTCTACTTGTGGTATTGAACCTTGTGGTACAATTTCAGAGCAATCAAAATACTTATACACAAGTTATTGTCCTGAAACTAGAAAAATGCTTGTTTTGGCCCCTTTTTGGCCCCTAATTCCTAAACGGTGGGGACCATCACCCCCAAAAAAAATCCCAACCTTCCTTTTGTGGTATTGAACCTTTTGCTTAAACTTCATAGAGATCCATACACTTAAACTAAAGTTATTGTCCGGAAACCATATGTCTTTGGACAACGCTGATGCCGACGCCAACAACGACAACAACGTGAACTAATATACGACCACAAAAATTTTTTGTGGTCGTATAATAAGACTTAGAATGTCAGTATGGTACAAATCAGTCCTGAATATACATACAATATTTGCCTATGGACATTAAATTTTCGCCTATCTTTTCCACCATTTTCTAAGGAAATGCCTGTACCAAGTCAGGAATATGACAGTTGTTTTCCATTCGTTTGATGTGTTTGAGCTTTTGATTTTGCCATTTGATAAGGGACTTTCCGTTTTGAATTTTCCTTGGAGTTCGTTATTTTTGTATTATATATAACTTTTCATAGCTCATCTTTTGTAAGAGGTACTCCTAATGAACAGGTATGCACATACTGCTAATAATTTTAACTATTATTTAAGTGTTTCTTAAACTTTTAATGATTTCATTATATTTATGATCGTCTATTATAACATTTTTCCTCTGATGAAATATAATTCGTTGTCCAGAACATCACAGATAACATTGTTTTCACCATTAACACCATACAGATTTTTCTTCCCTAAAAAAACCTCTTATGAAGTAGCAATGGGGAGACAGTTTTTTAATTGAAAAAAATGTCATATTATATAATTGGCAAAAGCAATGAACATTCCTAGTTTTACAAAATAAAATAGCATGCATAAAATAACTTAAACAAAACTTTTTATCCTTATTATGCTTGAGAAAAATAACAATAGAAAGTATCAATTAATATGATATCACAGTCAACTACACCCTACATGTAAATCAACCAATTAGCCCAAGAACATGTACAAAATGTTGTAGTGTAAATCAAGCTGTCTAGTTTCCTAACCTCCCTCTCATTATCTAGGCATTAAATAGGAATTAACTAAAACACAAAATCTATACCATGTACACAGAACAATTTATTTAGTAATTTCTTTGTCAGTTTATTTTCAGGAAACTATTTCAAAAAGTTTGTACATTAATTTCTCTGCATAATCATATTAAATTCATAGCACTTTATTTCTCTTTAGTCAATAGTGGTCAATAGTTTTTTTTATAAGGTTAACAAATTAGGTAATTTACCATCATAACTACAACCATAGTATTTTGTTCATCCTATCCTAGAGTTTTCTATTCATAGATTTTTTATATTGAGGCCCAGGTACTGGACATGAAGTACTACAAAGACATACAAATTCATATGCAAAATATTTCAGCTGCATCTGGAATGAGGATTAATTTCTAATTATATGAATATTGACAATAGTTATAGTACTGGTAACCTGAAGGGCACAGGACCTTTGTGCTTTTTAACTGGGTTTTCGAAGTAAAAATCGGTTATTGATTTGGAGATGTACAGCGGGTGGGCGGGCGAGCGGGCGACTGCCAAACAGTGTCCGTTCATTAACATGAAAACCCTTTGACAAATTTTTTTCAAATTTAGATATGTTGTTTCCTGTGACTGAATGAAGGTAAAATTCAATTATTATGATTTTAGCTTTTCTCGTTGTTGAGTTATAGCCCTTTCCCAAGAATTAAATTTTTGATGAAATACTTATCAATTACTAGATTTCTGTTCAAAGTTGGATTTTTTTTTCTTTTCTTTGGTAAATTGTTTGAAGAATTTTGTGGTAGGTGTGTTTGTTATTCTGTATAAACTAATTTTCTGAATGCTATATATATAATATTTTTTGGATGAAGTGGACTCTTTTAATTAGATAATAATCTATTTTTAATAAAGGATATATTTCATTACATTACATTGTGTAGATGATAGATAAGTTGCAGATCTATATTAGTTTGTGACAAATGAAAGAAAAGATAAATGGAACTATTAATTATATTTGATTATAATTTGAAAATAGATATACATTGTGTTACATCATATCTAATTTTAGAGAACTATTTAATTTTTTAGTGGTTAGATCATATCTAATTTTAGAGAACTATTTTTGCTTTATTAGTTTCTGTTCAAAGGGAAATAACTCAAACTCGTTTCCATAAACCAGTAATCATAATATAAGTATATGGATTTTGTTCAATTAATTTTAGTCATTAGTTGTCAAAAATTTCTTTATAACTAAGTAAGTCATGTGTGTTATGAAGGTAGATGTCACAGTTGTTATGTGGTATTTTATTTTTGTTGTGTGTGTTAAAAATTAATTTTTACATGATCAGGTTTGGGGGTTCAGATTTGCAAATATCATTTTCATTATTAACTAGATAATAATCTATTTTAAATATTTAATCACAATCCAAATTCAGAGCTGTTTTAAGCTTAAATGTTGTGTCCATGCTTGCTCAACTGTTCAGGGTTCGACCTCTGCAGGAAAATCTGGTTTGCTGTCACTCTGACAGCCTCTTGTTTACCTGTAACATGATAGGACATTTGCGCTCCAAACACTATGGACATCTGCGCTTTAAATTTTGAGAAACCTGTATTAGATTGATCGGACATTTGCGCTTTTTACCTATAGTCGTCTACCTGTAATTTTAATGAGTTGTTATCATTACGTAAATAAATTCAACTTACATTTGTGGTTAGTTAGTTCACATTGACATAGAGTTTAAAGTTATAGACTAGTAAAGACAAAAAAAGGTATATCTCACGATGGATTTTTATCATTGTACAACAGTCGGTTAATTTCATTAAAATTCATTGGGACCTCTGGACTGAGAAAGAGAAACTAGAATATTTATTTCATGTGCGCGAAATACCAGTCAGGACAGATCACAAGAGTTAATTTGTTCAATTCCTGAGCTTCAGATATCAAGCGAAAACTGACCTGTGATGACTACGTGTCTTTGTGTCTTTAGAATGTTCACTTTTAGCTTTATATAACTAAATTAATGTGCTATGAAATGACTTAAAACACGAATGTGCTGTAACGTGACTATTAAACTTTTAACCAAAATGAAAATTATGGCTTTAACTCTGCCAGGTCAATCCTACCAGTCCTAAGCCCAGAAAAAATTGGAGGGAAGTCATAAGAAGCAAATATTGTAAAAGCACAAATGTCCTATATAAAAAGCGCAAATATCCTTTCAAAAGCACATATGTCCTATAAATTGAAGTGCAAATGTCCATGAAAAAAAGCGCAAATGTCCTATGAAAAAGCGCAAACATCCTGCGCCAAACCTGAATCAAAGCTTACCTGCATTATTGCATTGTATCAACACTCCAGGATTCATTATACTAAAATTTCTATAATCTGTAGCAGGTAAATGGTATCTTAGATGTATTGGAAATGTTACATTACTAATAACTCTATCAGAATTAACATGTAAATCAGTATAGATAAGTATGCTGAAGATACTAAAGGTATTTTCCTGGTATTCTGGCTTCTCTATATCTAATGTTGGTGATACATACTGAAAATACAGGTATACAGATTTTTAAGGAATTAAAATTGTGAAAGTTTGATTTGTTGGGTGCAGGAATATGTTATAATTTTAAAAACAGATGCTGTACAGAATTTTCTTTACTTTAATAATTATTCAAAATTGCAATAGATTATTACACAGAATTTAAGATTAACAGCCCTTGAAATGTTATCAAGTTTTAATAATAATAAAACATATCAGCAGATCAACATGTAACCTGGCTAAGAAGTTATCATTGATTGATTTTGACTTCTCAAATATTGTACCACTGAGGTTTTAACAAAATTGAAAGTTTAAATAAAACTCTGGATCTAGAGAAAAATAAATGTCATCACAAGTCTAATATCGGTTCATTTCATATTCAAATAAACAGACAAAAATAAATGTCATGTGAATTAACACAACATGAAGGTTTCTTTGTCTGAGAAATTATTGTCGTTATTTCATAAAAGAAGTCTTTCAAAATGTCCCGGTCTATTTAATGTGGGACACACCATTCAAATTTAAATGGACTACACTTTTATGTGGGATATATACTGTTAATTCCAAAATAAACATGTTTCAATTCATGAGAGAACATTTTATGGCTATAGAAAATAATAGAAAATTAGTGAATTATCTCCCTTTACTAAAGAATTTAATGATTATATTCAGGCAATAATGACTATATGTTTTACAACATCAACTAGGTTATTTGGCTGAAGCTGTTTCATATTTTGAAAACCAATAAACTAAAACTTTTTTTATTTTTTCAATAAAAATCAAAATAATCAATTATATCAAATTTAAAGTACAAAATATATTTATTTTCAAATTGATTTCTAGTAATAATGGATATTGTCTATAACTGGGAAACAAATATTGCTTAAAGAGAATAAATGGCTTTAAGAAATTAATAGCAAGGATTGTGTTTAAAGTCTGTGACTTTAATTTTTACATGTTTTTGATAGGTACAATCTGAAGCAGTTGGCTAGTTTTCCTACTACATGTATTTCTTTGTCTTGTAATATTGTAAATCTGAGATTTACAATGTTTTAAACCACTAAAAAATAATTGGCAATTTTACTTACATCAAAACCCAGATGTTTACTGACAGATTTGAGCTGGAATGTATCAACATAAGAACTGCTAGGAAGGAACTCTTTATACAGACAACGACACTTCATACCCTCTCTTTGAGTAAATAAAGACAAAGGAATTTCAACTATGGTCTGTATGTCCCTGAAAGAGTCGTAATTATCAGAGAAAATGTAATGATAAAAATATTAAATCTTTTCTTAAGATTTATGAGTTTGTTATATACTATTAATGTAAGCATGCAGTAGGCAGCTCATTTTCTCCTGCTTTTCAGTGCTCCAACTGCTGTCAACTTCTAAATATGTTTGCATGCAATTAATAGGCAAGTAGCCTATTCACAGCTTGAAACTGCTTCTTCAAAATCTATTGAAAGCTGTATGTAAGAATTGATTCATAAGACTATGTATGATAAAATGATTCTATGATACTTACAGTGAGACAGGGTTTTCTTTTGACCATAAACATATCCTTCCTGACTTGAAAGAATATTGTAACCCTAGGACATTATTTGTATGAGTCTATCCCAAGTCAGGAGCCTTTAAACATGTTAAATCAGTGGTTGTTGACAGTTTCTGTCTGCCTTACCAGTATTTGTTTTTTCGTTTGTTATCTTTAGCATAAATTAGGCAGTTGGTTTTCTCTTTTGAATTGTTTCACATTTGTCATTTATCAAGAGTTTACTGTACAGTATGGGTTTAGCTCATTGTTATAGTTATAGAATAGTTTTCTCATTGACAATCACACCACATCTCCTTATTTCTATATTAATACAGCATTATTATGTATCACTGAAATAAAGAGGTTTCACTTACTTTCTAGACAAGGTGATATTCTAAATATAGGATATATTCTAGAAAGGATGTTTGAGAACCATCAGACATCTCAGTTTACTCGCCTTAAGTTTGTATAATATTACCTGTGGAATCCATCTTTTAATAATTTCCTTTGTAAAGTTGGTAGTTGTAATGAAAGACTTATTTCAAAGAAAACCAGTAAAAATATAACAAATAAACTCTCTACAGTTGTGGACATCTTTTTCAGTTATATTCTGCATGAATGTTTATTGTTCTGAAAAATAAAAATACCATTCCTTAACCACCCAAATATTTATGTATACAATTTCCATAGGTGGTAATGGTTTATTTTGTGCAACTTAGCAGTCATGTGCTTGCTAGTTTATATTTTACATACTTTCATGCTGAACGACAGTTTCACTGATTCACTGTGTTTTATGCAAACAGGTAACATTCAAGGTTAGAATTTATTTTCCTTTTTACTGTAGAATGCTATATTTCATTTTATGATATTCCCTGTACGTAACCCCCTAGCAAACTGATTTAAGATTGGGCTGCAGTAATCAACTTTTGGGTGGTTGTGCAGTGTTAATGCCTCAAAATAATTCCTGTTTTTCCACTCACTCTATCCTGGGAACAGTATATCTAACTTTTTCTCTATTTTTTAGTGGTCCATTATTCTTTATTTTTCCCCGTTATTAAATCTCTTTTCCAATCCCTTATAGGTGATTTAAACTGTGTAAATAAGTAAACCGTATATAACAAATTCAGATATTTTCATTTTTCATTTTTATCATTTATTGCAAGCTTAAATAAGAGTAATCTCAAAATCAAGAAAAAATATATAAAAATTCTGAAACACACTATGTTGTACAACTTTGATACCCATGTCCTGTCATAGCTTAGAACTTTTACAGGTGCACAGGTTTGTCAGGTGTCAGATTTATTTGTGTGTTGTCAGTTACTTCTGATGAAACTAACAACATGAACAAGTAACCTACTTGTTTTGCTATTTGTTATTTTGTATTTGCTGCTTTTACTAACAGTGTGTCCTATTGAAACAAAACAAAAAATGAAAATATCAGCATAAAACGTTAAAAACGCCAACAAATAATTAAGATTGTAAAGTCATGTGTTAAAGGATTGTTATTTTAGCAGATCTTAGGATATATATCTACTCGCAATAATTCTTCATTCCCTGACTTATCCACTTTCTGTGTTATGATCTGTGTTCTAGAATAATGATCTTTGACATATATATTAATCAGATTTGAATGTTATTCCCATTATCTGTCAGACGTAAATCATTCACAAGCTGAAATTTAAGTTTGTTATAATGGGCGGGCACTTGCTCCAAACCGAAAGTGAAAGTAACGCTCCGCAGAAACTGCAGTTTTATCCAATGAGAAAAATTCTTACATCGTAATCTAGGCGTTGTGCTGTCAAACTTCACAAACAGAAAAGTGCTCTATTAAACTGAAATTATGTGTATGTAAACGAATATATCAAAGATGGGAGGACTGTTTTCTTCAAAAGGCAAAGATAAAAAGACAGAATCAAGAGTTACAGAACAAGACAAAGCAGTATTGGTAAAACACCGCACATATAATAATAAAAAAAAAATGATTGGAAATTTGTTTTAGGATATTGTTTCAAATTATCAGTAACAGTGTCACAGTGATCATCAATTTAATGTTAGCTTCAAAAGATTGCCATCATTTAAATTTTAATAAGCTGAACTGCTGTTTTTTTTTTTTTTTAGATATATGGCAAAATCCAAAAAAAATCATAATTTTACCTACGGTACGTAAAACCATCAGGAGGGAAAATGATGTTTAAATCCTGACCTGTTTTTTTTCTTTTTCTTAAATAGGCCAGTTAATATTTGTTTTCATAAATAGAATTGTAAATTACATTTATTTAAGACAGTTTATATTAAAATTCACATCCACCAATTATGTAATATTGGTAATTAGCTTATCAACCTATTAAAATTGTACAATTTGAGAAAAATAGTATTATTTTTTTTCTTCATTTTTCAGCAATTAAAGCAACAAAGGGACAAACTAAAGCAATACCAAAAGAAGATCAATGTACAGATAGAGAAAGACAGAAATGTGGCTAAACAGCTGCTGCATGATGGGAAGAAAGAGTAAGTATCATACTGTGGATTGACTATTACATTTTTATTTGTTGGATACCAATTTTTCGCCTATTTTGTGGGTACAGTGGGACCACAAATTTAAATGTTCAACAAATTACAAATTTTCTTTAAGCTTGTATGCAGATCTTGGCAAAAATACGAAATCAAATGTACAAGAAAATGCAAGTTTTTACTAAACAAAGAAAATTGGTACTCACAAAGATAAATGAATTCACAGTACGTTAAATATGGAACTGGATCAAGATCAGGTATATTAATGTGCTTAACAGGATTAGTCCTATGAAAATACCATTTGGACAAAAAACTTTTACAAGTTTAAATTGTAATTCATTTCTTCAACTGACCAACTGGTGAAAATTTTAAGCCTACTGCTAGAGGAAGGTTCATGTTGTTATAAGGCCAGTGCAGTGTAAAGGTTAAATATATTCTTCCAATTCCAATGAGTGACTTCTGTTTCATATGTAGATTCAATGGAAAAAATTTAAATGGAGCTGCAACTTGATTTTTTTTCATTGTATTCAAACATAGCCTCTGGGATGAACACACAATTGTTTCCAGTATCTTCAAAACCGTAAGAAAAAAAGAATAGAAAGGGTGTCAACGTATATTTGTTCCGCCTAACAGAAGTTCCACTGGAAACTTTGTTATAAACAATGTCATAATATCTGTTCCTGTTGGAACAAATATTCTATACCATTTATTCCGTCAGGAACATTTACTGTTATATTTATTCCAGTGGAAATAATATTCCAGAATATTGTTTCCATTTCAATCTTATTAAAATAAGTTCACATCACTTGCTCCTCAATTTTTTATATGTCGTTGAGGAGCAAGTGATGTGAACTTATTTTAATAAGATTGTTTCCATTTGGAACTTATATTATGAAAGAACTTCTATTCCGTGACACCGGTATCAACAAAAACATGAGAAATGTTCTCTTGAAAATAAAAAAATATTAAGCATAATTCATTTTCAATTAAATTACTCACTATTTTTTTAACTAATAAAGGAAATATTTTTATCATGAATATGTATATTTTCATCAACTATGTTGCAAAAATGGAAACATTTACAGTTATACAGTCATTGAATCACATTGATACACTCTGTATAATACATGTACATTCAAATTTGTGTCAAAATTTTTTCATTTTTACAGTACTTAGTACTTGGGTCTTTGTTCACACTCTGTGGTGGATATTTACATGAATCATTGAAATATATTTACTATTATGCTACTTTAATCATATTGAAAAATTTATTTAAAGAACAAAGATGATCCTACATTGTACTTGTTGCATTTTATTGACAGGTTTTTTTCAGTATCCTTTCATTTTCTTTCTTTTCACAGTAAAGCTAAGTTGATGTTAAGGAAGAAAAAGTTCCAGGAGTCACTACTTGAGAAGACTGATGGACAGTTAGATAACATTGACAGAATGGTATAACAAGCATTAATCTCAGAAATAACATGTGTATTGTATTTGATTTAAGGGCCTCTGAATTGTTTAAGTAGTTCATCTACAGTATCGGTAGCCTGTTAACAATGAGGTTGTGAGTTGGAACCCTGTACTTTGCAGGTGCTTTCTACTTGGCATGAAGTACCAGAAAATATAAAAAAAGATGATGCGTTCTGATTGCCAATGTGACAACAATCCACCAGAGTGTAATAGTGTGGATGTTAAAAATTATAAACTGCTAATTTGGACTAAATTTCAACTATGAAATTCTCTCGAAATTTAGTTCTTTGCAAATATGTAATAGCTCCATAGTTTTTACATCTTTATTCTATGATCCTCTTTTCCTTAAAACAGCACAAATAGTTTAGCTCAGAGAATTTTTTTTAAATACAGCAACATGTCAAATATCATTGAACAGAGATTTTCTGTTTACACATTATAATTATGTTCCTCACTTTGAGGTGCATTTTTATTTTTGTAACGTTTTAATGATTTTGACTCAATTAGGTCAATACGATATATATACATGTCATAATGTGTCATGATTCTCCTGAATGTTGAATTGCTATTCTTAATTAGTTTAAAAGCAAGTAAAGATTGATAGATACATGTATATGTGTTGCATTTTACAGGTGACTGATTTAGAATTTGCTCAAGTAGAAAGCCAGGTTGTACAAGGACTTAAAGTCGGCAATGAATCCCTAAAGAAATTACATCAGGTATGTATTAAACAGACAATAGTATTATGAAATAATTCATGGTTACTCATAGTTTAATTATACTCCAACTCTAGGAGTTGGGATTACATTACAATCACCTTGTCTGTCTGTTCGTGCATTTGTCAAACAAATATTTTTTCGTCACACATTTTCAGAAACTATTAAACAGAAAAGACTTCACAGGGTTCTCACTAAGGCGAGTCCATGAGTCCTGGACTCATCAAAATCTGTCTGGACTCATCATTTTCAAAACTTGTGAGTCCAAAGGTGCATCAAAATTGTAAAATGTTGTATCAACTAAGGACATATAGCATCATTTTATAACAAAAGTTAAAAGATAATCTAAATTTGATGCCATTTGCTTGCTCATTGAGACTAAAATTATATCATATATCAATAAAATTTCATCTTTTCACTGCTGGACTCGCCATGGCTAAAAAATGATGAGTCCCTGGACTCGCCTTCAAAAATCCTTAGTGGGAACCCTGAGTTCATATTTGGTCAGTGGCTTGACTTTGATGAGCACTTTTCAGATCTGTCAAATACCTATACTTCCTGTTTGCTGATACATTTGTATTTTCCAATATGTTAAATGAACCTTTAATTATTTTGACACATATTTCTCCAATACTACTGAACAGAAACACTTCATATTTGGTCAGCAGCTGAACAGTGATGATTTGTAAAATGTGTGTACCTACCGGTACATCCTGTTTTCTGATACTTTGAATTAAATTCAGAAGTATGCTTAGTACAATAACAGTGCATTCTTCTTTAGTTAGGTAATGAGAAAAATACTAAACAAAATTAATCCTTGATGATGTACTTTCTTCAAACAGACAGAACTTCTAAAAATGATGGAGTCATGGTATTGTATGTGCTATTTTAATACAATCTAATCTTGTCCTTTTGTTTTTGTCTGATATTTGTTTACATAAGGCTTTAAAAATTAAATGACTTGTAGGACAATATACAATTACTAGATTTTGATGAGGTTGATACAATGTTTTATCAACTCTAGAGATATGATATTCACTGAGGACAATGGCCGATGGTGAATGTCATATCTCTGGGGGTGACAAATCATTGTATCAACTGAAATCAAAAGTCAACAATTTTTTTATTATATGACTTTTTATCCTTTCCAATTTTCTAGTTTTTGCTCGATATATTTTTAAAACTGCTCCCTATTTTTAGTCCCATACCAACGAAGTCGAAGAGGACTTTAGGTTTGCACTCTGTCCGTCTGTCTGTCCATCCGTCAGTCCTGCAAATCAGTTTTCCACACTTTTTTCTTTGTGCTTGAAGATATTGATTTGATATTTGGTGTATTGTTTTATCATGACAAGTTACAGATCAAGTTCGAATTTTGTTCCAGTCTGATGATTTTGTGCAGAGGTATGGTCCTTGGACTTAGAAAATTCACTCAAATAATCAGTTTTCCACACTTTTTTTTCGTCATGCTTGAAGATATTGATTTGATAATTGGTATATAGTTTTATCATGACAAGTTACAGATCAAGTTCAAATTTTGTTCCAATACAATGAATTTTTAACCAGTAGGGGACTATGTATTGCCCTGCAATACTCGCAGAATGCTTGTTATACTAAATATATCATCACTTTTGCAGTTGGTAATTTTCATAAGTTGAAATATTCAATCAGTTTACTAAAAAAAAAAAAAACAAGAAAAAGAGAAAAAATACACCGAAAACAAGAAGAAGAAAAAACGGTAATTTACATGACGTCATAAACCTACGTCATTGACGTTGCCTTGGAATATATATATTTAAGTACACGGACACTGTTCCAAATCTTATATTAACCTTTCTTGATTTTTACCGTGGTGAATAGAATGTTTTATCAAAGAGCATTTCCTATGCTTTTAGCCAATGAGAAAACAGAAAATTTATAGTCATATAATAAATGAAATTATTACCAGTCAACATCATATATCAAGCAGACCAAAATCTTTTACAAATGCCTTTTTAGCTCACCTGGCCCAAAGGGCCAAGTGAGCTGTTCTCATCACTTGGCGTCTGTCGTCCGTCGTCGTTAACTTTTACAAAAATCTTCTCCTCTGAAACTACTGGGCCAAATTTGACCAAACTTGGCCACAATCATCATTGGGGTATCTAGTTTAAAAAATGTGTCCCATGACCGGCCAACCAACCAAGATGGCCGCCATGGCTAAAAATAGAACATAGGGGTAATATGTAGATTTTGGCTTATATCTCTGAAACCAAAGCATTTAGAGCAAATCTGACATGGGGTAAAATTGTTTATCAGGTCAAGATCTATCTGCCCTGAAATTTTCAGATGAATCAGACAACCCGTTGTTGGGTTGCTGCCCCTGAATTGGTAATTTTAAGGAAATTTTGCCGTTTTTGGTTATTATCTTGAATATTATTATAGATAGAGATAAACTGTAAACAGCAATAATGTTCAACAAAGTAAGATCTACAAATAAGTCAACTTGACCAAAATGGTCAGTTGACCCCTTAAGGAGTTATTGCCCTTTATAGTCAATTTTTAACCATTTTTCGTAAATTTTTGTAATCTTTTACAAAAATCTTCTCCCTTGAAACTACTAAGACAAATTTAACCGAACTTGTCCACAATCATCATTAGGGTATTTAGTTTAAAAAATGTGTCCGATGACCCCGCCCGCGAACCAAGATGGCCGACATGGCTAAAAAATAGTACATAGGGTAAAATGCAGTTTTTGGCTCATATCTCTGAAACCAAGGCATTTAGAGCAAATCTGATGAGGATAAAATTGTTCATTAGGTCAAGATCTATCTTCCCTGAAATTTTCAGACCAATCAGGCAACAGGTTATTGGGTTGCTGCCCCTGAATTGGTAATTTTAAGAAAATTTTGCAGCTTTTGGTTATTATCTTGAATATTATTATAGATAGAAATAAACTGTAAACAGCAATAATGTACAGCAAAGTTAGATCTACAAATAAGTCAAATGACCAAAATTGTCAATTGACCCCTTAAGGAGTTATTGCCCTTTATAGTCAATTTTTTACAATTTTCATAAATTTTTTACAATTTTCATAAATTTTTTACAATTTTATAAATTTTTACAAAATATTTTCCACTGTAACTACCGGGCCAAGTTCATTATAGATAGAGATAATAGTAAGGAGCAAGAATGTTCAGTAAAGTAAGATCTACAAACACATCACCATCACCAAAACACAATTTTGTCATGAATCCATCTGTGTCCTTTGTTTAATATGCACATAGACCAAGGTGAGCGACACAGGCTCTTTAGAGCCTCTAGTTCTTCTACTTAACCATGAATGTTACATTTATAAAAACTGTATTGTAGAAAAATTATAGACAATGTCATTTGAGAAAGAAAAAGAAGATAAAAATCACTTTTTAATATTCCTTTTGTGAAAAATAAAGGTTTTTACTGCCATTAAGATTTTGCACAACTTTAGTATTATTGTTCATCATTTTGATAGAATTAATTATGTTGTATCTTCACATTTGACCCTCATTACAATGTAATACCTTATACATATATGTCATCACAAAAATACTATGTCATCACTAATATACTATGTCATCACTAATATACTATGTCATCACAAAAGTACCATGTCATCAAACTTTTCTATGCCATCACAAAAATATTATCAATAATGAATTTTGTTTAGTTGCTGTCGCTAGAAGATGTTGAAAAGATAATGGATGAAACCAGAGAAGGAATAGAATACCAGCAAGTAAGTCCTGTTTTTAGTATAGGTGGGATAATGATATCATATTAGTGCAATTAATGTGCCATGCTATTTTGAAAAGATTTTAGTTACTGTTAATTCAGAAATTTTTTCGATGTTTTTATGATTGTGAAAACTACAACAATAGCTTTCGCAAAAATAAAACTCACATTTTAAATTTTAATGCTATAATGATTAAAATTAAAACTAAAAGAAATTAAGAGAAACTAAAGTAGATTTATAGAAACTGTGAACAGCAAAATGATCAGCATTAAAAGATCTACGAATAGGTGAAATGGCCATAATCCAAATTCTACTCCATACAGGAGTTATTGCCTTTGAAAAAATACTTTTTAGGCATTTTTTTTTAAAAATTTAGTCCTTTATTAATCAATATGGGGGAAGTTTCAATTGACTCTTGTCCGATGAACCTGTCCTCCAACCAACATGGCCGACATAGCTTAACCTAGAACATTGGGGTAAAATGCAAGTTTTGTCTATTATCTTTGAAAATCCGCTATGAATAGAGAAAATTTTACTGAAACAAAAATTTCAGAATGATGAGTCAGAGATCTTAACCTATTGTCTTTTCAACCAAAACTGTCAGACAACATTTTATAGGAGTTATTGCCCTTAAATGACAAACTTTACCATTTTTTTTTCAATTTTGCCAATTATCTTAAAAATTATATGAGAAACTTTAAATAACAAAAACGATTAACAAAACAAGATCTACAAGTAAGTGTACATTGTACAGGTTTAATTGTCCAACAACTACTTGTTGGAGTTATTGCCCTTTAATGACGATTTTTACCCTTTTATATAACCGCAAAAAAGTTTTTTGGGTTCGTATAATGCTATGATCTTGTCGTCGGCATCAGCGTTGTAGTCGGCGTCGTAGTCGTCCAAAGACACATTTGGTTTCCAGACAATTACTTAAGTATAAGTGAATGGATCTCTATGAAATTTTACAAGAAGGTTTAATACCACAACAGGAAGGTTGGGATTAATTTTGGGGGTTATGGTACCTACGGTGTAGGAATTAGGGGCCAAAAAGGGGCCAAAAACAAGCATTTTTGTAGTTTCCGGACAATAACTTGTGTGTAAGTGTATGGATCTCACCGAAATTGTACCTCAAGGTTCCATATCACAAAGGGGAGGCTGGGATTGAGTTTGGGTGTAATTGCCCCAAACATGCAGGAATAAGGGGCAAAAAAGGGGCCAAAAACAAGCATTTTTCTAGTTTCCAGACAATAACTTGTGTTTAAGTGTTAAAATTGTACTACAAGGTTCCATACCTCAAAGGAAAGGCTGGGATTGAGTTTGGGGGTAATTACTCCAAGGGGGGGTCAAAAAGATTGGGAGGGGGATTTTTTTCCCAAATTTTTTTTCTTCAAAATTTTTGAAATTTCAAATTTTTTGAAAAGTTTCAAGAAGAAATCTTCAATTGAAAGTATTGCAAAATAGCACAGTATTGCGCAATAGATTTTTAAGATCTTTGACCACATTTATTTTGTGTCAGAAACCTATATTATGTCAAAAATTTGATCACAATCCAAATTCAGACAGTATCAAGCTTGAATATTGTGTCCAAACTTGCCCCAACTGTTCAGGGATCACCCTCTGGGGTCGTATCAGGCTGCGCTCAGCGAAGCATTTTATTTTTTTGCTTTTGGTCTTATATCTCAAAAAGAATAATAGATGGATTGAAACTGAAATATTCAAATATGATCAGTAAGACAATATCTAAAAATAAGTCAGATGTTTGAAATTGGTAGATGACTCCTTATTGTAGATATTGCTCTTTAATGACGATTTTTACCCATTTTTAGAGTTTTTGCCCATTATTTTCAAAACTGCAAGACAAGATCTACAAATAAGCCAACATAGCCAAAATGGTCAGTCAACTCCTTATTTGAGTTATTGCCCTTTAATGACGATTTTTTACCCATTTTTTGTGATTAGTCTTATATCTTCATGATTTTAACAACTTTGATAGATAGATAAAAAGTTATTTAAGCAAAAATAATCAGCAAGACAAGATCTACAAATAAATCAACAAGGCTGAAATTGCCAGTCGACTCCATATTGGATTTATTACACTTTAATGACAATTTTTACCCATTTTTAGTGTTTTTGTCTATTATCTTGAAAATTATAATAGATAGACACTTTTTATAGCAAAAATGATCAGCAAGATAAGATCCTACAAATCAGTCAATGGCTGAAATTGTCAGTTGACTCCTATTTGAGTTCTTGGTTTTTAATGACAATTTTTTCCAATTTTTTGCGTTTTTGTCTTTTATTTTGCAAACTATAAAAGATAGACACTTAAAATAACAAAAATTATCAGCAAGACAAAATCTACAAATAAATTAGATTTTGCAGAAATTGTTAGTAGACTCTTGATAGGAGTGATTGCCCTTAAATGACAATTGTTTTACCATTTTCTATTTTTGGGCAAAAATTAAAGAAGATAGAGAGAAACTGTTAACAGAAAAATGATCAACAATACAATATCAACAATAAACAGATTTTTGTTATGAATTCTATTCTAGTCCAAAATGTTGGACAGTGTTCATTGTTGAAGGTTAGCTACACAGGCTCTTTAGAGCCTCTAGTTGCCCTTGAAGAACGATATGACTTTTTGGGGCGTTTTTTTTCTCTCTCTGGAGACTTGAAATATTCTCATTGCATTCATAGATTTTAAGCAAAATTAACATTTGAGTCATAGGCTCTGTTGTGAGTTGTTATTATCTCATTGATTTATATAGTAAAAAAAGTATATTTGTTTTTTGGTTATAATAGTGTTTCGGTAATCATTGTAGGAAATAGATGATCTGTTATCAGGAGGACTTACAGCACAAGATGAAGATGATGTATTAGCAGAACTAGATGCTATTGTACAGGTAACATTTGGGAGTTTCAAAATTTTGTTCTTTACAGTATTGCTAACAATTAAACTCATTCATAATCTGACATTTGAAAAAAATAAAAGGAGAGCACAATTAGCAGGAAAGTTGTAGAAAAGGACAAACTAGAATGCATAGTGGGCAATTTGCTAATTCATATTACAGACACCAAAAAAAATAATTTTCTTCATAGATATAGAAAATTTTTGTCAAACTTAGAACAAAAAATTGCAATGAGAAGAGGATTACAGGTCAAATGTCAAAGCCAAAAGGTCAACTCCTTAACAAAGTGCATGTAAGGAAAACACCTTTCAAATGATGAGGGGTTGAGAGTTGGTACGGTAATTGATTTTTATAGGCAGAAAAAAAGTATAGAAAAAGAATCAATGAAGAAACATGTAGAACCCTTCACCAAACATATCTGGTAATTTATTAATGCATTCCAGACATTTGTGAAGCGATATCATAAATAGTCAGAAATTCCAAGATTAAGTCTACATTTTTTTTCTTAGGCTGAAGTAACAGATGAACTACCTGAAGTACCAGACGATGAACTTCCTGAAGATAAAAGGAAAGGTAAAGAAATCAATATGCATTGTAGCCAATATTTTCATGCTGATATGATACATGTATAGCTAATCTATAATTCTATTGATCATACAAGTGGCAATTCACTGTCAGAAAAAAATATGGGAAAAAATCCCACTTTTTGAATTTATATCTGTTTTAGTCATGGAAGAGTTATAAAAAAAGATTTATATAAACAGTTATAAATGGGAGATAATTTGTGTCTATTGCATTGTACCTACAAATGTGGTCATGGTATGGTAGCAAAAGAAGAAATTTACCATTCTATTTTTTTATTTTCTCAACCTAGATGCTAACTATACTTGTAAAAACAGCTGCTTTTACAATATAAGATATTTTACCTGCCTGTCAGTGCCATTTGGGCATGGTATCAGAAAAAGACACATATAATATAGAAAAATAAATATAAGATGTGATGTGATTGCCAATGAGACAATTATCCACACGAAACCAAAGACAAGGAAATATAGAATATTCAATAAAGGAAGACTGTTTTAACATATTACTCTTATTTTGTAGACAAACCCAGGAAAGAGAAGAGACAAGCAGAAGCCCTTGCATCATGACACATGGACAAACATAGTGTATTGTCTTTAAAACTATAACCTATATACAAAAACTATGAAATGGAATGAAAAAGATCACTAGTAGTCACACTGAGAATAGAAATTACTGCACTACAGAATTTTTTTTCTAAGAATTCTGGAAAATGGATAATCAAAGACTTATTTATTTAACCATATTAAATTTGATTTGAAAGTTTGTCATTATAACTTGAGACAGATAGTTTCATCTAAAATCATAACAGTTATTTTCGCATTATGGTATTTCATGTAAAAATAAATTGTTGGTAAGTTTCACTGCTGTAATTAGAGTTTAAAAAATAAATGATCATTAACTTTCAACATCATCAATAGATATGGGTGAACAAATTTAGAAATAGACCGATAGACATGTTTGTGTTATATTATAAGATATATGGGAAATTTGATAATTATTTTTGGACTTTACATTATTTGAATAGTCTGCATAATTTTATGGAAAAAGATATGCTAAATGAAATTTGACAGTTTGTTTTACTCGATCATTTTGTTTAATTTTTTCAATATTTTACCCCAAAAATGTTTCAAATACTTAATTTTCTGAAAGTATTAAATTTAATATTAGTATATGTATGAAATTTTGTTAGTGTCACCATGTAAGATGGTTTCTTACTTTCCTAATGGTACAATGTATGGTACAAAATTTTGAATGATTTCTGATGACTGCACATTTTTTTATTGTCAAATATGAAGGTAAATTTTAGGAATATATTTTTTTGTCTTTTTATATATTGAAAAAAGATAAACAAAAACAATTTTAATTTGCTTGTAAATCTTTATATGCATTCAGAAGAAATTTGATGTAAGAAATTGAAGTAATTAAATAATTAATACATTGTGTGTTATGATATTTGCTACTGTAAATTAAAGCAGATTAATTCCAAATGAAGCCTGTATAATATATTTTCGTTATGATGGGATTCCATAATGAAACAAGTTTGACAGGAAAACAATCGATGAATAGTTCCAAATGTTTAAAATAAACATTTTATAAAAAGACTTTCATGCAGGAGGAATTATTATTGATAATTTTCCATATGTACTTTAAGTATCTTTAAGGATAATGCATAATATAAGTATATAAGCTCTGAGAGACAACGATACGGTATAATCAGTATTGAGCTGTGGTTACATAACATTTAATTTGGTTTTATTTTGATAGCTAATTTTCAAATGACGTTTCCAAGAAAAAATCAAATCAACATCAGGTTCCTAAAAACAGTGTTGTGTTAAATATTGAACAGCAAAATTAGGAGTTTGATACTCAGGTTTTGGGGTTTAATAATGGTTTAGAGAAATGAAATGGTCAAATTGATGATCAAACTGCCTAAATGGGAGCTTATTTAAAATGAAAAGGCTCTACTGATGATGCTATAAATAACAGAAATCTGTTTGTCCATTGATTTTGTGATTTACATACAACTTAGACAGTAGTTTTCTTACATTAATCATCATGTATCGTTTTACATGTAAATATAATAATGTGTTAGTTTCTTACCTTTTCTGTTATAAGTTGGCATTTTTTAGTGGTAATCTTACATATACACATCTTATTAAAATATATTTTTTATTATGTAGTTTTTTATTTTGAATCCTTCATGCTAAATGAAGCTACCGGTAAAAGTAATTCCTTAGATGAACAACGCCTTAGCTTTCAAATTTTGCTAGTCCAAAATTTGTCAAGCCAAAATTACGTTTGAATTGCCAGAATCTTCCTAGTTGTTTGTTTGTTGTCCCCAATCCCTGATAAATAGGGCTTTTATGTTGTGTTGATGTTTTTTGAGTGATCTTTTTCAAATACAATGTAAATATTTTGATGCGGTTTCAATATCCAATGCATCATATAATGGAAAATAATTTTACACAAGTTATTATTGATAATATTCTTAAAAATCTCACAACCTGAAATCAGTTTGATACTCATAGAAAGATGATCTGACAATTTTCATCATATTTTGTGGCAATGAAAATCTTATCTTCCTAGTTCTACATTTGATATATAAAATCATGTCAGTGGTAAATCAATGTAAACTGCTCGTTCTTGATCAAATTGAAAAACGGAACTCATACTTTGCAGGGATTATCAGTTGCTGTAAACAATTTGTGGTTTTTATATACATGTATATATATAGAGTGTATATATCCTTCACATGATCTTTAGTAAGCTAACACAGTTACTTTTACATGTTTTCTTTTTCTCACTTCACTTTAAATGTCATAGGCAGCACTATTTGAGTGAACTATGATATTTTCTCAAAAGTTTCATTTGAAACACATGAAATCAATAGATAAAAAGGAGTATAAATTGTGTATCTCCTTTGTAGTGTTTTACTTGTTTACTGGGTAAATGTTTCCTGGCACAGTCATGTAACCACCAAAAATAGCATGAATTATCTCCCTTTGAATCTGTTTGTTTAGGTCATATGTCATTCTCAAATTGCACTGGTCTGCAAACACAATTAATGTCAGTTGATTTTTGTTCTCTAAGAATATAGTTCATAGTGTTAACAGCTTATTACTTAAACATTTTTCCATACACATTTTTGGACTAAAGACTGTGCTTTGTTCAGTTAAGTTTTGCAATATACCAGCTGATCTGAATCTTAAAAATCCCATAGGATGAGTCCAAGAGAGAGCTGGGTATGAGATAACAAAAGTTAAATCAACATGATTGTTTGGAACCAAGTGCAAATGGGGACAGAAAACGCTTCATCTTCAGCTGCATTATCTAGAAACTACTGTTTGAAAGCCCTAATCTGTCTGTGGACTGTGATGAGAAGAATTGAAGTATTGAGGGGGTCTGATCCCAGATCACGCTTATTGTTTTGTCAGAATCCTGTATCCCGCTTATCGTTGTAATAATAGTGCTTGTTATTTCATGTGTCCGGCCGGACTTCATTTCCTGTTTTCACGCAAAATGATTTGACCTTTCATGTTTCACGCTTACCAAAAAAATCGGCCAATCCTGCATCACGCTTAGACCCCAAAAAGACCCACTATTGAAGTATGTTTTCACCAGAGGTTACAAAGTATCCATAAGGGAGCTACCATTTGATTTTTATGGGGGGGTCTAGGCTGAAAAATTTTGTCCTGCAATTTTTTTTAGTTGTAATCTCTGTCCTGCCTTTTTATTTTTCACTCTATTTGGTCCTGCCTTTTTTTTTATTAGTTTATTCGTGACTTTTTTTACATAAATTGTCATCCTGCCTTTTTTTTTTGCCAAGTTGCTCAATCCTGCCTTTTTTTTTTACTCAAAATTCCTGTCATGCCTTTTTTTTCAAATTTCATCCTAGCCGCCTCCCCCCATAAAAATCAAATGGTAGCTCCCTAATCCACTAAGATTTTAGCAGTTCCCTTGGATGAACATGAGTTTAAACACTGGTAACTTAACTGCTGTTAATCAAAGTAAAAAATGATAAACTAGCATTCTAATTCAATTCATGAATATTTTGATTGGACGACATCATATATTTTTAGGAATAAGTTCCACCGTTAACCTGTCTGTAACTTAGAGAATACGCCATTTCAAAATCCAGATTTTATTTGTATGCAATTTCTTCAATGATAAACAAAATAATTTCATTTCTCGCCTGAAAATCACCTTTTTGTGAAATTTTATTTCAGTCTGAAGTATACACAAATCATAAAATCTTGCATTGTTTACATTGACACTGAAAGTGTACCTATGATGTCAGAATATTGTGGTGCCATTAAGACTGCAGAAAATGTTTAGCAGAAATTTTGATTTATGAATTTGACACCAAAATAATGACTTAAATGGAATGTTTTAGTTAATTTACATTTGAATAAAGATAACTGTATTGTATTTAAAGCTTGGCCTATGTAAGACTTGGTTTTACTATGGCAAATATCTGTTTACCTTAGGCACCCCCTCATCAACCCTAGGTTAACTCAAGTTTGTGACAGATAACATGTTTTATGTACGTCATGCTTAAAATACAATACACTTATTTCCTATCTTAGTTAAAGATATAGTTCCCTATTTCTTAAAATATGCAGTAGAATTGAAAGGCTATTTTTTCTTAAGATGAGAAAATTTAAGAGACTCACTGTTTAAAAGAGCTGTATGCACATGTCACATCTATTAAGATAATTTGAAATTAAGATGATGTGACCATGACAAACAATTTAAAGGATGAAGGAGGATTTTTGTGGGCAGAAGATTAATTTATTTCATTCAACAAAGTTGTACTCAATTATTTTGTGCTTCAAAGCTGTACATGTACCAGTACATACACAGCAAAACTATTCATATTTATTACTGCCAGCAAGATCCCCTTATAACACAATCTATTTTCTATATATCTTTTAAAATATCATGAGATAATTGAATGAAAACAAAAATCATGCATTTTCATAAAAAATATTAAGTGCATTATTGTGCGTTCTTGTTACCAATTAATTTCGTGTCACTAGCTTTATCAATCATTCGGTAGTTCTTTGGACTGTCCACAGTCTGCAAGCTTAACCCCCGAGAGACCCAACTATGGCTGACAACAATACCTCTGAGGAAAATAAAACAGAAACTGACGAAAAACCGTCAGAATCATCGCCAAATACGAATGCCAAGACTGTTCAGAGCCCAACCAATGAAAGCCCTACACATTCGTCCAAATCAAAAAGTAAAACCAATTAATTTACCATCAAATTCTTAGCAGTTCTGTAAATTATATATAATTTGTGAAAAATGATGCAAGACGTTTCAGCCACACTGCCAGTTCGACCACAGTCGTTTCGGCCAAACTGTCAGTTCGATCATACTTAGGAAATTCGCTTCGGCCATGTTTTTTATGCCCCTGTCGAAGGCGAAGGGGGCATTAAGTGTTATCCTTGACCGTCTGTACTTCTGTCCGTCCCATGTTTGTTTCCGCATTCTTACTTAAGTTTGCCTCATGCAATTTTTTGAAACTCATACACAATGCTTAGAACCAAACCTTGCAGACAGAGTTCGAAGTTTTACTTTCCTAGAGTTATGCCCTATTATAACTTGGAAAATTGCATTTTTTTTCTTTTCCGCACTCCAACTTAAATTAAGATATGCTAAGAACTCAAACTCGCAGACACAGCATGAATTTGGGCAGCTAGTCACTTACCGTTCTAGAGTTCTGCCCCTTTGTGAATTGGAAAAATTGCCAAGTTTGATCAGGAGCATACGTGTCCTCAGACAAGTTCTTCTTTTATTTATTATTCATGTTATTTAGCGAGGAAAACATAATTAATTTTAGAAACATACGTTAACCCTTAGACTGCTACGCGCGACTATTGTCGTTCCAATAAAGCAGTCCGCAACTGCTACACGCGACTATTGTTTACACAGTTACCATGGAATGGGCAGAGTCAATATTCATGAGCTTGCGGCAGTTTAGACTTGTATGGATTCTGATTGGTTAAAATTCGGCGTACTTTCAAGTTTCTTTTGACTTTAAATCAGGTATAAGCAATGAAACCGAAAGTGAAAAATTTAGATGAAAAAAGTAACAAAATGGCGGAAATTGTTTGGAGTGATGGCCAACACGTTCAGAAGTATTTCAATGATAACGATGTAACAGCGGTGGCCAATTTAAATGATTTGGACGAGAACAGAAGATATAATAGATGGAAATAGAAACATTCTAGCAAAACTGCGAACAGAAGACTTTTAAAGCGGGAACCACGGGGATTCCCCAGACAATGTTCCAAATGGATGACATGAAACAGGATTTGCAATGTTTATCATTGCGCCTTTCAACTGTGAATCAATATTGATCACTGACATCGATAGATTCAAACATTATGTTTGTCAAGATTATTTATTGACGAAAGTAATATCAATGAACTTATTGTTAAAACATATTTGTACATGGAAGTAAAAGTCGAAAGTCGGAAGGAAAATATCGGAAAATAGTTGCATAAAAAAAAACGTTGGTCCGAGAAGAAACTTTTCTTTTGATAAACGCAATGGAACTAGTTCTTAAAAGAGATTTTTAACAATATTGGTTCAATTCTGAAGTCATGGATACCTTTGAAAAGTTTTTACATTGATGGATTTGCGTTAATAAAACATAATAATAACGACGTTAATTGAACACAAAGTTTACACAGAACACAACTGACAATAATTTATTGTATAATTCGTTCCACTGTGCAAGAATGCTAACACATGATGGCAGAACAATTTTAACAAACATTTTAACAACAAAAACACTGTATTTTTATTTTATTTTATTTTATTTTAATAGTTGATTTCCATATATACTTACTTTCACTTTCTCTTTCAATTGCTATTTATAACGTTACTCACCATAGCAACATTGTGACGTTTTAATTTTCTCAACCCGATTTTGTACCTCAGCATGATTTTATGTATTGTTTTCTATCCTGATGACGGTGGCCTAGCCACCGAAACATGTCGATCTCAATAAATTACTGGAGCATTCAGTAAAGTGTTGTTGTTACTGGACCTTTTACAATAATAATAAAAATAAATTCTTCATTTAAAGAGGGTAAACACAGTTAGTTACAACAAACTAATCTTCCCTGAGGCCCTCGCATACAAATTACAATACAATCAAAAACAGATATTTACACATAGTTAATTTACAGTCAAGTAGTTCAATGTATTATTATAAACATGATTAGAGATAGAACTGTTCAAGAGGTACATGTACATGTAGTAAAAAATCAACAACAAAAAATAAAATCAAAATAAAATAAAAAAGTATACAAATCAAAATAATACATTGCAGAAAACAGAATCTTATCAGGACTGTGTCAAGTACTTCTTCATACTTTGTTTGAATTATTTATAGTAGTATTTTTAGATTGAATCATTACTCATTAGTAACGTTTAAATAAGTTACAATTCAACCCATGATGTGTGATGACCTACTTCAACCAGTTAAATTTGGCTGATTTATGAATGCACATAGACCTTCAACATGATGACAAATAGGAAGTAACTCTTGCACAAATTGTATCATTGAAACCTATATCTATTGGTTTTAAGTTATTTCTATTCATTACTTTGTATTCATGTATACTTTAGAACAAATCTCCAGTCTGTTTACTTTAATGAAAATCTCACAGCAAAGATGACATGTATATGTATCAGAAAAACAAATTCTACTGGAAATCTGATCCATGTGATCATTTTCTGAAAATAAGAGACGTTTTGTAAAAGTAAGCACACTGCTATTTTATTCCCTTATTTAATTCACAAAAAGTACAGTTAAGTTTCATTGGTCAGAATTTAACCTTTAACGTGTCATTGCCCATTCATGTTACAAATCATATATATAGCCACACAATACTCATTAACATATTTTACGAAGTCAAAGCTGCCTTTTCAAACATTTAATATGTTAATTTTCAAAAGGTGTAGCCGTGTGCTTTATAGATAACAATAATTAAAAATATATAAAAATATCATTTCAGTTGATGTTCTCCTCAAGGCAGCAGGCGATGCTCCAATTATGAAGAAAAAGAAATGGTCTGTAGATAGAAACAAGAGAGTAAGCTGGATATCAGAATTTATAAAGAAATATCTTAAATTTGAACCAACAGAATCTATGGTATGATTATATGGAAAGCTTTATTTTTTATATAGAAATAAGATATGGTATCACTATGGTTGCCAATGAGAAAAGTCTCCACCAGAGACCATATGATGTAGAAGTTTAATTTTTTTCATCATTTTGTTCTGATGATTTAGTAAATTGGTTAATATATTTTTACAATTCCAGAATGGTCAATGTACTGTTACCATTCCATAATGGTAGATGTACTGTTACCATTCTGGAATTGTCAATCTAATAATACCATTAAAAAAGATAAATTTAATGTAAGACACTGCAGAATGGTAGATCTGCTTTTCGTATTCCATACACACAAGTTTATAACAAAATCTCTGTGGAAATTCTAATTTAAAATCTATCTTCATTCTAGAATTTTTAGTTAACTCTTAATTTTGATAATTTGCTGTTTAATGTAGTTTTAACTCCTTTAGTATGACTATTAACAAGAAATTGAAAAAAAATGTGTTTCCCCTAGAAAATTATCTTCATAAGATCAGCTTCAATTATCATTACAAACGTGTTCTCAATGTGTATACATAATGTGGAAATCTTGAAATGTGTGTGCCATCATCATTGTTTGGGCTTAAGACATTGTTAACATTGTGCTATCCTTATCCACCATTACATGTCTTAAAGAATTAGTAAATGAGTGTATTTGCTCTATTTCAGTTTCTTTATGTGAATCAATCATTTGCTCCTGCACCAGACACAGAAGTTGGCAGTGTATTTGATGTAAGTAGATGTATAATTACGTTGCTAATGGAAGTTATATTGTGATCTTTGACACTCTAGCTAATTGGTTTGTGGTATGTGTATGCAATTTTTATTCCTACGATAGCACAACCCTTCAACTGGATAATGCTAAGGGGATCATCACAGAACTGCCAATAGTAATGAATAGGCACTTACATTGTGTAGCAAATTTTAGATGGGCCTATGGTCGGAAAATTTTGCTCTGTGTTCTGAGTAAAAATTTGTGCATGAAACTCCAAATTCAAATCAAAGTACTCCAAAAGTTTATGACCACAAGGCCTGAAGTCATGGTAGGATATTGATAATTTCAAATGAGAGGGCAGAAAATTTTTAAATAATTTTTTTATAATGTTAAATTCTATGAGAAAACCATTATATCATCAATGGTAAGTAGATAAAAGGTTGCATTAATTTGAAGATTTGTTATTGTTTATACAAAGTTCACTAAGAACGAGACACTATGATTTTTTTACATTGTTTTACTTTGTATTTTACTAAAATCTATCGATTTTATTTTTTAGTGTTTTGGAAGTGATGGTAAATTAGTACTGCACTATTGTAAGACACAAGCCTGGGGATGACAACTGGTTTCTGGAGAAATTAAAACAAAAGTGCAATAAGACATTCCGTATTATTTTATTGACAATATACCTTGTATTAAATTAATAGCTTGATGGGATACTTTTAAACTGAAAGACCACCATGTTTCATTTTACTGATATCATGTATTAAACTGATTTGTTGCTGAAAAAGAAGTTAGTTTAAATAGTATTTTTAGCAAGAATCAAATTCTGATATATTAGATTAAAAAAAATATCGATCTTTTAGAACTTTTTGTTTTGCCCGATTTTATTTCTGTAAAGTTAACATATATGTGTGAAAAAAAATCTTGTTTCATTTTGCATTACCAGTAGTTTCAATATTTTTATCACAAAAAAACATCTGTCTGATTTTCTAGACATTCTGAATAGATTAAAGGATTTCATTCTACTTATTTAAAACATTATTTTAAGAATTAAACAAAATTGACGGATTGTTGACAGACAGTCTTGGTTATGTACAGATAGAATTATATAATTAACATAAATGAGTAAAATAGGATAGCAAAATATTAACTACAGCAGTGGGACTGCTACATATATTGAATTGTTTTTGAATTGATGTTTATGTTTGTTTGAAGAAGAATGACTGTGATAATTGTATTAATGTAAGATGTTATAATATTAAATACATGTAAAAGTAACATTTTGAATTGTTAATTAACTATATACCGGAATTCCTTAAACAAAACAGCCAGACATACACATTTATAGCGGTAATTCCAATTATAAAAGTGGGAAGCATCATCCTTGACTCTTGTAAAAATGGACTTGTGCAGTTGGATTTACAAATTTGTTATAGTGATGACATCTTCACTAGTCAAGGGTTATGATTGTTCCCCATTCTCTTCACCCATGGTGGATTAAAAAAGAATTTGTGTATACAACATTTTGCCATATAGCAACAAATAGGAGTCATGCCTACTCAAGACTACATTATCATTGACCAATGAAAGCATGTACTGTCAGTTCCGAGGTATAAAAATGACTGTGTTCAGTGGTTACAGATTTCTTGAAACAGAAACTGCTAAATATGTTTAATTTCCTACAATTGTACCAGGAACATACCCAAAAACTTTCAATTAGTTGATATAGAACTATAGAAGTGTCACTATATAAATATTTTCCTGTTAAGTCTATAAATGAAATAGAAGATGGAATAGGCTTGACAATAAATCCATTGGATGTGTTCCGATTTATACTTGACCTGGGAGAACATGATTTATTTATTAGTTGTAATTGGCTCTGAACTAGCTTTCAGTATTAAACTCAGAGTACTCTGAGGTCAATATTTTGTGTATTTTGTCTTTACATTTAATTATTTGATTTCCAAATGATTTTTGTTTCGACTGCAACGAGTCACAGTATGCGAGACATAAGGATTACTATCTGTAAAAGTATTTGTAAAAAAGCTTTTATATTTCAGAAGGTAGAAGACGTGGATGCTTCATACCTTGTATGCAGATACCTTATGTTAAGAGGTTTCCGTCTGTCATATGTCCATTGTCCTTGACCTCATTATCATGGTTCAGCGACTGATTGAAAAAAAATTAAGTTTTTTTGTTGTGAGATAAGATAGATAAATCATTTTATTGGTTCAAAATCCAAAATTATAGGATTGTTACCAAGACAATAAACATTGACTATACATAAACATAAACAAAATCTGACCACATTCATAAACATTATATATATAAATGTATATCCCCTCCATTATTAAAAGAAAATATTGTTACAATAATAAATGAATGTATATAATCTCTGCTGAGGAGGTGGTACCACAAAGTTATTAAGTACTCAATAAAGCATTTCTAGAATTATACATGGTGCTTATGAATTTTACAATAATTTTAATTATATCAGTCTCACCACAGGTATACAAAAATTTAAATCTTGCTTCATTAGTCATATTTAAAAAAGAGGGAACTATTTCACTAATTTTGGAAAATAATTGTTCTCTAATTGTGTTTAGTTTTGTACATATTATAGTGAAATGAAATTCATCTTCTACTTCTATAAGACACAAGGGACAAATTCTTTCTTCTACAGGTGTTTTAGTGTGTCGTCCTTGTTCAATTTTAAGAACACTATTACTTATGCGAATTTTGGCAAAATGCCCTATTACTTTTCTGTCAATATTTAACAATAAATAGGTTTCCAATTTGTAATTTTCTTTAAGCGGTCTTTATGTTCTGAGCTTATTACCGTTGTGTGAATTTCTCACTTAGTGATAGGATTACAATGTTTGGTATATGGGTTCCTTGCAATGTCTACATGTCCTGCAGACAGGGTTCATCTGGCCACGACCTCATTTCGTGGATCAGTGATCAAGGTTAAAGTTGCATGATTAGGTTTGTTTTTCAGATACTGTAAGCAGTAGGTCAACTATATGTGGTGTATGGAATGATTGTAATGGGAACATGTCAGTTTGGCAGTTTTCATCTGACCTTGACTTACACAAGTCATTTTGGGACCCTTTATAGCTTGCTGTTCGGTGTGAGCTAAGGCTCCGTGTTAAAGGCCGTACTTTGACTTATAATTGTTGATCAAAAGTTTTTGTGTTTTGGTCTGCTTTTCAAGAACTAAATGCAATAGATAAACTATATTTGGTGTATGGAATGATTGAAATGTTAACATGTCTGTCTAGCAGGTATAATCTGACCTTGACCTCATTTTCAGGTTAATTGGTCAATGTTAAGTTTTGTGTTTTATTATGTTTTACCATATACTTTAAAATTGGTATTTACTGCTTCTCCACTAAGCACACAGCATTAAGGAGTAAGAGCAAAGACTGGACGGCTCAGAGTCAGAATAATGTGTCCGGTTCAGGTGACATGTCTTCATGTGGACTGTTACCTTGTGAACTAGCACATTAAAAATCTGGCTCAGCATGTTAGTCTAGTACAAAGCAGGGTAAATATTCATATTAAATTAACATGTTCTCGTCCTGAATATGCATATTTATTTGCCACTGGTTGTTAAGCAGCCATCAATCATCATCTACTACCATAAGCAATAGGTTAAGTATATTTGGTGTATGGTATATTGTAAGGTGTACATGTCCATATAACAGTATTTATCTGACTTTGACCTCATTGTCATGGATCTTTAAAAAGGTTAAGTTTATGTGATACTTGTAGTTAAACCTTTATCCTTTATGTGTACTCTTGTTACACTTGGTTCACATGATGTGCTGTTACACCACTGTACTATTTTAGGGTGAAGGTTGAGCCCTTTAAAACATATTCAATACTGCCACATTCTTCATGTGCCTGTCCTAAGTCAGGAAGGAGCCTGTAATTCAGTTGTTCTTTTTCATATTTGTTATTTGTTTTGTCATAAATCAGGTTGTTGGTTTTCTTGTTTGAATTGATTCACATTTTGTCATTTACCTATAGTTGCTTACATACAACTTATTTGGACTCTGGTGGATAGTTGTCTCATTGGCAATCACACCACACTCCTTATCTTTATATTGGGTGATAAAATCACATCAGTAAATTCAAAGACATGATGTTTATAATATTAAAGTTTTGATCATTCCCAAGAAATTACTTGACGTCTCCATCATATAAAAACTTATTTTTTAAGCAATATATTGTTTGTCTTCAAAAATATCCATATAACCCAACAGAAATGCTTGGTATAAGATAACATCACAAACTATGTGTCTTCCCTGCTTGATTGTTTGTAAAATATCACATCAAGTCTTTGATTGATAAACTTTTGCTTGTTTAACATCAGGTGGCACATATTTTGTACATGCATGTATTCAGGACGAGAAAAGAAATTAAGGTAGGTCAACCAGGATGAAAGGGCAGGAAATTTGGAAAATATAAGTTTTGAGATACGGAACAGAAACTTTGCTATGTAATGGACCAGCTACAAACCTACTAGAGATGTGTTGCAACGGATCTTAAACTGAAGTGTGTGGCACACTCCCTACATCTGGCATAAGATTAAACATCTCCAATCTGACCGGGCACCCCACTTAAGCAAAGGTTACTATCAAAATAATGATTATTTAAAGCATAACATTGAGCTTTACTTACAATGTATGATGAGCCAACTTGGGGCAGTGAATAGGTATGCCTGAATAATCAAACATCCTTAGGATTTCAAATTTACACACTAGAGACGATTCGTATGGTTATATTCCACTACCACTGAATCTTTTAGCAAATAAGGCAGGTGGAACTTCGTAGAAATGATATTTTGTAACTGATATTTTTCACAATTTAGCAAATTAAATATCTGGCAAATAAAAATTTTGAAATGTCTTGAAATTTTTACTTTTTAAAACTATGTCCTAAGAATGTTATCAAAAATAAATATGTTTCAGCCACTGAAATCTCCACTATATTGATAGCAAATTGAAGGGGTTACACAATTGGTGAATTGCTGAATCTTGTTAGGTCTGAAAAAGTGATTTTAAGCACAAGTTAGAGCATCTTAAAGAAGACTCTTATTTTTACCAATAAAACCAGTATCATTGGCAAGTAACATATCTTTTTTTTTTAAATCTTCAAGCTTAATTAAAGGTTATACAGTTCTGTATAGGACTTCCAAGTAATTATCAAATTATATTAATGGGGAAAAATATTCACAAGTTAAAAAAATAAGAATACTTATACAGTGTTTTATCATTTTATTGTCCTGATGATAAATATATACTTCATTTACAAATAAATATTTACAATTAGATTCAGATCTATGAAAATGAGGAAGTATTCCTGTAAATGCAGATCACAAAGGAAAACAGTTGCAAGCAACAGTTTGGTATTATACCAAAATTACTATATATATATTTTGTAAAGTGAAATCTGACAAACAGTGAAACATACATTTATAATGATAATAGCAACAAAATTCTGTCATAACAGAACAGAATTATTGAAGATTTAAATATACAATGGCAGTTAAATCATTGAAGTTTCAAAATATTAGAAAAGAGAAAACAAACAATTATAGGGTATTGTAGTCTCAGGTTTGGACAAAAAAAAGGTAATACTTAATTGGTTTTTGACATTTTTGTTATTTAATAAATGATCTAAAACAAAAAAGTACAACCCTATTTAGATAGATGAATTATTCTTCACAAAAACTAATAACAATTCTTATGGACGGACAATTGAGCACTTTTAGATAAACTTGGTTGCAACTGTGATGCTTCTCATAATAAAAATAATTGAGTATAATTCATTTAATAATAAATATATCACAGAATTTATCCATTCCAAATTCATCAGTAGTACTAAGGAATCCATATCAATTCAAGTTTTTCATAAACATTACGATTCATATACAGTATTTGCTTTGTTAATTTGAATTGTCTTTAGCATCTTGGTGTAAACGGGAATTTCCATATGAGAATAGCTCCATCTTCACTGACACTGACAATTAAGTTCTGGTTAGGACAGATTTTAACTTTGATGACAGAGTCACTATGTCCAATTCCTACAGCCACCACTTCTCCCTCCTGGTAAGTCCATACCTATAAAAGTTAAAATATTTTTTATATTAAACAATAAAACCATTTAAGTCACTTTACTAGTATTAACTGTTGCAAGTTTCGGCTTGGGAATGTACCTAATTAAAAGAATGTGACAGTTTAAAATAAAAAATAATGTATGAGAGGTCAGATACTGACAAAAATCATCACAAATGTGAATGGGTCATCAGCAACAGTTTTTAGAAAACTGAACACTCAACTGTCCATGATGACTTTTGAAAAGTAATACTTGAATCTATCAATCCAAGACCTTTGTTACAAAAGTGAAAACTGTTATATCAAATTATCTTTACTGCACATGGAAAGAAATATTTTATTATTCATTTGTTTGCTTTCACATTCACAATTTGTATAAATTATCTCCTCTTTGATTGTATTTTCCTTAGACGTTTTCATTTAATTTATTAGGTTTCAGCTGAAATTACTTTTTACCTTAATCATTCTGTCATCTCCTCCTGTTACTAAGAATCTTCCATCAGGTGACAGATCTATGGCATTGACAGATCCACTTGATGAACCATCTAAATCTCTAATCCTCTCTCCACCATGTGTTTCCCAGAATCCAATTTTTCTATCTGTTCCACTAGTTACTAACTGTACTTCTTTTGCATCATAGGTTAAACATTTGAATAATGTATTGGCAAATACTATTCCCTTTCTTCTTTTATTTCTAAAATGATACATACATTTTTTTTTCCATTATGCTCAAAACAACAAATCTTGTAGCTTATAAGTGGGTTTTCTACACAACAACTCTTATTCAATGCCAATGGCTTGAAAATACACTCTGCTTGAATTTTTTTGTTCTGCACTTATATTATTTATTTACCTTATTTGCAACCTTAACAATAATATCTTAATACAGAGTAGAAAAAATGCCTCTGTTGCATGCATGACTTTTTTGCATGTAAAACATATAGATTGCATAACTGAATTTCTTTACACAAAATAGAGGTAGAATTTTTAAGTTTAAATATCAGACAATTTTTACAATAGACATTAACAGAATAAAATATCCATGTGAAAAATTTCACTACAAGGATAATATAATGGAAAAGATCGGATATAGTGCATTAATTCATGATGCAAATCACGACGATTGGAAAAACCAAAGTAAAGAGAACAGTTTTTTCATTGCTGTAAGGTGAAATGTCCAATCCTATTTCTACAAATGTGTTCTTTTTACATGATGTCAGCAGGAAGGTTGCATTTTTTTAAGTGTGTGATATGTATAATGGCAAAATCAGACGTCAGCTTAGAAATTTGAAATCATGATTTAATTTCAATCAATGAAACTACACATTGTATAGTAAATCAGGTTACTATGAATACACACTTACTGTAAATCCCAAATAATACAAGTTCCATCGTTGCTAGCAGTGGCACATTCCAGGTCTCCATTGGTTACCTTGACATCAGAAACAGTTCCTTTGTGTTCCATCATTGTTTCTGCCAATTTTATTATGTATACATCTTCGCCTTTAGCATTCATACTTCTTGTAATGTCCCAAATGCGTACTTGACCTTCACCTCCACCACTTACGATTCTGTTGCCATCAGATGTACATGAAATGGCAGTCACTCCTTTACTATGAGCTTCTCCCCTCTCAAATTTCTGCTTCAAACTTTTACCGTCTTTTGAAAATCCATATCCTCTGATAATACCATCATCCCAAGCTGAAAAATACAGGTAATCAAATTAGTAAAACTATCAAATTTACGTTTTGAAATAATTTTCTTTGATGAGTCAATTTATTACTGAAGAAACTGAACGGTAAACTGTCATGAATGTTCAGATTTTGATCCACTGAAAATTATTCTTAATGTTTATCTATTGAAAATGATACTATGAAACCGAAGTAATATCCAGTATTATATCTGTTTAGTTACTTAAGTGTCTTCATATAAAAACAATTCTTCTCCTTGTTTCCTGATTAACCACAGTTATCATTGAGAACATGGTACATCTTGCAATACTTACCACTAAATATTGTTTTCCCGTCTCTAGTTATGCACACAGCATTACATGTCTTATTGGCAACTACATGTCGTAGAATTTCTTTTTTTGTTGACATATTCCATACCCTAATTTCTTCTTCTTGACAAGTTACTATTAAATTAGAAAATCCGCTACAAAAAAAAGACATACATTTATTAATTTTGAAATAAAAAAGTTAAATGTACCACAACTGTATTGAAATAAGTAGTTTATTATAGATGAAACGGAAAAATATTTTGTAACTTAGAAGTCTTTCATTACACTTTACAGTAGCAAGTATTCAAACCAAAAACAAAATGCAATATCAACAGCTCTTTACCTCAAAACAAATGGTGTCTCATATAGGATATGTGAGATTGTGTTACCTCATTAAGATTATTATTTGGTTATATTAATTGTTAAATGTTTTGATCACCAAAACTAAAGTATCAATCAGTACGCATCCAACGAATTTAGTAAAAAAATGTCATAAACAGTCTTGAGAACCAATAACCTTTTGTGATGCCAAAATATATGCATAATAGGAACAGGATGTAGGACCATAAGCTTTCATATCTATACAGCAATACATACTAATCTATATTTTTATTCATCAAAAACAAAATCAATGTCGGTAGAGATCATGTATATCTCCTGAACCCCTTCCAACAAAATCATCTGACTTTCTTCAAAGTACTAAAATTTTGCTGTTTTACATTTTATCATCATTATCATCATTAAAAATAGGTAAGCAATCAAACTTCTTTAATACAAAAGATAACTTACAATGGGAATACAACATCTTTAACAGCTTTGGAGTGACATGTTTTTACTAACTCTACACCTTTGTCGTCTGTCTGGGTCTTTTTCTCTATTTTTAGACCAGTTTTCTTGTTGATTTGTTTCTGATCTCCACCACCACTGACATATTCAGCATAGTTAAATCTATAAATTTGAGAGTTAGCAGCTCCAACATAAAACTGAAAAAATAAAGTTGGTGAAATAAAAAATCTGTATAATATTGAATAATTCCAATAAAATGCACTTAAAATTATGTCCAGATAAAAAATTTCTCCAACATTTTCAGAATTGTTTTGCTTATGTAGGTATTCATTTTCTTCTGTCATGAAAATGGTTGATAATATCACATGTATATTTTTTTTTTGGTTGCAACTTTGCTCACCAATGAAATGAGAGTTAACATACAACTATGGAATTATTCTCATATCTGTCTACTAATTGTAATTCAATTTTAGATTCTATAACAAAATATGACATAATTCCTTAAACATTTTTGCCTTCGTTTCACAAAAAATCTTGCGAGTCATGCACAATTCAGTTAACTTACAATTAATATTAAATTGCAAGATCTTTTGTAAAACATAACCCTGGTGTTTTGCAAAAATGGCAAAGGGCACACATTCTACCCATGTGTAAATTGATTTTTATCATGTATACATGTATTTGTAAAGCCTTGTGTCTTACTCTGTGTTTTGTTTTTTCCCTCACCCCCCAAAAAACCAACAAAAACTAGACATCTTGATACTGAATGAATACATTCATAAATGTAAGCTCATCCAAAAAGATTAAATATTTACCTGATGGCCATCTCCTCTCAGGGCTACAGATGTGATTGCAGGTGATGATAAATTTGATAAATTTTTGTCCTTCCATGACCTGAAATATGCACAAAAGAACAAATTAGATATGCTGATATTATCATTATTATGTCTAGTCTATTATCCTTGAAGAGCAAAATGGAAACTTACTCTTTTCATAGATTTTTCTTGTCATTAACATAACTGTAAACCAATTTATTTTAGTGTATACTTTTTTTTGAGTTTAGCCCTTTCTAAACAATTTCAGAGCCATTAATTGTGCTATTTTCTAACTTTGTTAGTGCACTAGTATAAGAGAATATCCATATTTAACAAGTTCACGAAGATTTATTTTGTGTTGTGTTTTACTTGCAAAAGACGAAAATAAATGGCTTGCATATAATAATTGGCTTACAGTATCATCCAGTACAAAATTTTAATTATGTATAAAAATATAAAGGATTTAGCATTGTGTAACATATACTTACTTATTGAAAAAAATATTCATTTTCATATTATTTAATTTAAATATAATTTCTTAAAAATGTTATCCTACCTTTTCTTTTCAAACAAGACTTCACCTTTGTCTTGTTTCTTGTAAAATTTAGCAAGGGCTACTTCTCCATCTCCAGCTCCTACTAAGAAGTCTCCAGACTTTAGAAGTGCTAGAGATGTAACACCTTTACTGAATAATTCTTTCTTTGGTCCTTGGACTTGGAAGAGCCTGGTTCTCATATTGATACCTATGATATCTCCAGTTGTTGTACCACAGAAAAAGAATGGTTCTGCCATGTGATCAGCCATCTATAAAGGGAAATATAAAATATAGAAACAGCACCAGAACTTGTCACATTGTTCTCCATACAAATTTCTTTTAGCACGACCTATGAATTGAATTTCGAAATACCATCTTGTTTCTAGAAATTATAGCGTCCCATTCACAACTGAACACAATTTATAAGAAATTTGTTTCAGATAGCTTGGCATTACTTTGGGTTATTTGCTTTTTCTCTTCTGGTTCGATGTTTGTTTCAATAGTAAGGTCCTAAGCAGTACTATTTTTTTTCATTTTCTTTGTGTGAATAATACATACATATAAAAGTATATGTTGCACTCACCTGAATACATTTAACAACTCTTTTAAGTTGACCCATGACCACATTTGTTGCTTTGATTTTCCTATTTCCTACATCAAGTTCCCACACTCGTAATGTACCACTGAAAAAGAAAAGCATTTGGAATTTAAGCTTAAAGGGGAGAGAACTGAATTTGTCTCCTTCACTTCTCTGAAAAAAAACACCTGTTTCTAAAGTGTAGTTAACTTTCACTGCTTACTTTGAGGAAAATTGATACAACCTTCAGCAATCTATCAAAACATAAAGGAAGTTAGTCTAAATAATCTCCATGAAATGAGATGTGTCATTGCTAATACAACTGCATACTAAATATCATTGTCTTACCATTAGTGCTCACCTTTAAACTAACCTAATCACAAAGTATAACAAATTGTTGACGCTGCTACTGCCAGAAACATCATGCATTAGTATTGCCTTTTGCAATTTCGTCAAAAAAATTGATGCTTAATTAATTGACTAAAAGTGATATGTAATAAATAAACTTACTCTCCTCCTGTTACAAAGACATCATCGCTGACGTTGGAGTAGGCTACACAGTATGTTACTCCAGCACTTTCTACTTGGGCTTGGTTTCCACAAATTGCTTCTTTGCTAGCTAGATCCCAAACAACAACACTGAAATAAATGTATACATTGTAACTATTAATTTCATGCATCTCTTTTACAAATAAATGATTTTTAAATATCAAATAAACTTCTCTAACATGTTTAAGCAATTATTCATTTATTTTAAATTCAAAGCACATTTTGAAAGAAAATAATATAACATAAACAAATATTCACAAATCAGTAAAGGCCACAAATAATGTTTAGGATACAGTATTATTAAAAATATAAGTCAATTGTTACTTGGTAAAGATTGTGTTCATTCGTCCTGAGCTGATCTAAATTTTCATTGATCATTTAATTATTTCTTTATCAACATGAAATTTGCCTCCTCAGTTTTAAAAATTAGATATTTAGAAATTTAACTGTCTAAAGTGGTAAAATAATGTATTTCACTCAATGCAGTGAAAGGATATATTTATTTCACTTGTAATACTCAGTACATGTACAATGTATGTTAAAAGCTATATTTTTTTACAATTGATATGAAATAAAATTTGACATTACCTATTTTCGAAACACCTGAATTTACAAAGCTTAAACTTTAACGTACTAAAATAATACATGATAGATCATTCAAACAGATACTTTTTTTATATATCAAAACTTTATTGACAATTTTATCTATGTAAGAACTCACCTTCCATCATCTTGTCCACCAAGAGTTACAAGGTATTTTTCATTAGGTGAGAATGCTAAGTCTTGTACTTTTACTTTGTGAAGACTAAGTGTTGCTATCTGTTGTTTCCTGTGGAAATCCCATATAATGACATTGGCCTAAAAATAAAATAAAATTAAATCTTATGTTTACATGGTATGTAACATCATCTAAAAAAGTAACATTTGGAGGTTAATAATAATCGATGATGGGTAGGTACAAACGTATACACACTACAAGTAAAAATTAACAGTATATTTTAAATAGCCCCAAAAGAATTACTATGATGTTCATATTTTGACCTCTACATTTTTATGGTGTTTTTTAATGGTTGGGTGGCTGTTTCATTAATGTATACCCAATATTTCTTTGCATGATAATTGTGTATGAAAACTGGCAATTCTGGATATAATAAATACCTACACTACATGTTAACTATTAGCATAGATCACTTGAAACAGTTGATTAATTATATATCATAAACTATTTATGAGTACTAAAACCTTAAACAATATAATCTTGTCCTTTGGCAGAATAGTTAAAGCTAAATGGACTATTAAAATGATAAATCATACCCAAATGAGAAAAATTCTTCTTATATCTTTTGTTGTCAACTAAAAAATGTTATACAACACCAGAATTGAAATCAAAATACTGTAGTTACAAGCCCATATGGGCAGCAATAACCACAATAGGTAGAAAATGAAAACAAACATCATGATGTCACCAAATTATATTTTTGTATGACTGTGTTTATAACTTTATACCTTAAATCCCATGTGAGTGACTTGTCCTGATGCTAGGTAGTTTCCAGATGGTGACACAGCAATACATGACACATTATTAGTGTGACCTGATAATTGTGAAAATTCCTTTGTTGTAACATGTTCTATAATGACTGTATTTCCTAGAGGGTAAATCAGGTGTTCTCTTCCAGGGTGAACTTTCAAACCAGCATTAACATCCCCTAAAAAATTATAAATATCACTGAAAATAGCTAGAGACAATGTGATGACTTTTGGTCTTTATACATTTCAATTAGTTTTCATCATTGTATATAATTATACTGATTAACATTTACATTTTATTCATTTCAAAAAGAAACCCATAATTTAGAATCACTATACATTAAGGTTTCAAGAACTAAGCAATTATTTATCTATCTTTGATGTACATGTAGGAAATGTATAGAGTTAAAAGTTCTGCATTTTTTAACAATGTCAATACTTTTATCACTTTTATTGTTAAGATTGATTGGCACTAGTCAGTGGAGTAGAAACTGTTTACTTTTCAGGAGCATATCAGTTTATTCATTTTGTTTCCATTTCATGGTTTAGTGAGGTTTTTGTTTATCAATATGTGTAATGTTTTGTTGTATCTTTCATCTTTTAGCATGGCAATGTCCATCCTTTTTTTGATGTACAATTTCATTTCCTCTCATGGTGTAATGTATTGTTTAACAATTTATTTTTTCTTCTTTTTTTAATAAGACATGATTTTCAGTACATGATGCTTATTTGTTTTTTCCAGTGAGAACATTTGTAATGAAACATCTTGAACTGAAAAAGTTTCAATTTTCAACCACAAAAATTGCAAAGTAAAATCAATTTCTTTTTTAAAAACCTGTAAGTTAAATTTTAAATACAGCTTTTTAGCATGAAAATAACACTTTATTATCATTCAGTACAGTATGACTAAATCTATATTTGCTTTAATTAGCAAACAGTTCAACACTATAAATTCTAAAAGAATTGAACACAAATCATAAACATACATGTAGGGCGAACTGGTGTAGACCGTATCTCTAATCTATTTGGGAATCTGGGACAGATGAACTATTGACATAAAAAAATAATGGTTTTTCTTTTGTGGCGTAAGACATTTGCTATTATGACGTCAGAATTTTACGGGAAAGTTTATGTTGTCTAATAATGGCGGATAAATAGCGATAAGGTGTATTATATACTAGATCTGGTATCATGGATATTCAGAATTTTCTTATTATTTAAGAAGAAATAGATTTAAGGTAAGGTTATCACTGTATCTCAGCTTTTTCTATTGCTATTATTTTGGGAATTACTATATAAGCCTTTAGAAAGCCAAAATGTGCATGTAGATAAGCTGGAGTGTGAGATGAGCTATGTCAGGGTCTTTTTGATTTGTTATAACGGAAAGCAATATAGGTTCAGCTTGGAATTCCGTTCTTTTAACAATTTTTTGGTAAACAACAATAATAATGTATAGCATGTAAAACAATGGCGAATAGGTCTGAAAATGCTGCTGCATTATACTTTGTCCGCGCTTGATTCAAACAAAACTTGTCAAAAGTCTCATCTTACCATTAAATCCAATGATTGAATCAAGTTCCAATCTTGGAACATCAATTGGTGTGTCTGTCATCTTCTTCTTTGTGATAGCCTTCTTAAAATAGGAACGTCAAGGCTACTTGTACACACAAACCTAAACACTGCCTTTCAAAATTTAGATGTTGTCATTGGAGACAAGCATGGCGACCAAAATAACAACGCCACCTATTTCCGGTTGTCTAATCCGCATTTCATTACCGTTCTAACCAGCAGGTGTCCGTTGCTAATTTAATTAAAATTTAATGTCATTATTAACCCAATAAAAAATCCACTCAACATGTCTGTGCAGCTAAAGAGACAACAAAACGGAAATTATTGATGGTGGAAAAAGAAATGACAACAGTTCAAAACTATTTAAAAAATAAAAAGGGGGAGGGGGTTTAAAAATAAATCATCTCCTTTGCCGTCCCCCTTTTTCTAAAATCCGTAATTTTTTTGCTATCTTTTAATTTCAATTATTTTCGTGTTTACTGTGTTAGAAAGGGAGGGCAAAATTCTGGAAGTTAATAACAAGCAAAAAAATACCTCATCACGGTTTATGAAAATTATTACTGATAAAGATTGTCCTGTTTATCTCCATGATTTAATCCACACAAGGAAAACACTTACTCTTTTAGGTACCAGAATACAGCAGACCTACCACATGTAAGAACAACTGCATACGGCCTACAATCTTTAAGTTATGCAGGTGCTAAGCTTTGGAATGAGCTGCCAGATGAGCTACGTAAGCAATCATCTTTAAATCAATTCAAGAACTTGATAAATTCTTGGTCTGGCAGTTCATGCCAATGTTTTGCCTGCAAAACCAATTAATTCTGTTCATTATTTTTGGTTTAATGCTTTGTTTTCAGCATGGCCAAATTATTTTGTTTTCTTTACTATAGTGCTTCTGCTATTTTGTGCTAATTGTAGTTACTTAACTAATCATGGCTCTATGTGCTTTTTATGTGGCAAACCATTTTACTTTTGCTTTTGTGTTTTTATCTCATAAGTGAAATCTTTAGGCTCCTTTATTAAACTGAGGACAGAGGCACTCGAGGTCATTTGTTGTGTTGTGTGTTTAATATTTTGGTTTTCTTTTTATGTAAATGCAAATGTCATCACTATATTGTTGTTTTTTCATGTAATTGTTATTATGCCTTTGACCCTCTTATGGATGTAATTTGTGATTAATAGAGTTCATTTAACACTTTTGGGGGCATCTACTGGTGTTTCTGCAAAGAAACTGGAGATGTCTGTGGATATTTTTGTTATGTTTGAAATGTGTAGATCCCAATTGATCCTCGTGCCTTAAACAAATTTTTCGGTTTTTTTTTCTAAAAAACCCGCAATTTGATGTGAAACTTTGACCTTAAGACTGGGAGAACATTATTTAATTGATAGTTTTTATTGACTTTGAACGATAGCTTTCACTAACTTCGAGTACTCTTATGTCGAAACTTTGTGTCTTTTTTCTTTATGCTCATTGTTGAAGGTGACTTTTAGTTGCTTAAATCCGCAATCTAATTAAAAACCGATCTCTAATCGCTCCCGTTTTCTGATATGTCACTTGGGAATAAGTCAATTAGTGAATACAAAATAAGGTGCACCAATGAAGCCAATGGTTTTAATTGGTTTCAACAACGGTTAAATTCTTAACGGAAATATTGTTGTACGAAAGGACGTTTGCACGGTTGGACAAGGTGAATGCAATTTTTTTGTATTGGTATGGCTCTATGAAGTCAGTTCTTGAAATTATCACAGACATCAATCATATAGCTTTATCATCACCAAAAATTAATAGCTTCAAAACTAATATAAAAAAATTTAAAATCATATTTTATAGAATTATGGCACACTGAACGGATAAAGTATTCAGATGCTAAACTTAGAACTTATGTTACTTTTAAATCAAATTTTGGAACAGAAAAATATCTTTCCATTAAATTGCCCCAATTTTCTTAGTCTGAACGCAAGGAATAAACTGATATGTCTTATGAACACAGAAGATAAGTCAAATCTCACTGTTGCTGGTAAATTTACAATCAGGCTAATTAAAATTAAATCTCCGCACTCGCTCATTTCTTATTTGGAATATAAAATATCTTTATTTTATCTTTTATAGTTTGCCATTTTGTTTTAATTAATTGAAGTTTCAAATTATATTCTCTCGTCATGTCTTCGTTTAAAAGTTCTCCGATATTAGGCATTTCGCAGAACTTGTACTTTTTGTTGAATCGGATGAATTACTGTGCATAGTTCTAGTTTTTTTTTATTAGTACTGTCATGAGACTTTGGCTCCAAAAGGGAGAGTAAAACAGATCAGATTCTGCTTCTGAAGCATCCTTTTCTTTGATCGTCTTTTCCAATAATAAGAATTCATTTTTTGACACAGTGGCATTTTTTATAACTTACAGAAAATACGGAGAAGTCAGGGTAAAAGGACCCCGTTTTTAATTATCGATACTCTCTTTTTTTTTCTTAATTTTTTCCTGCTTTATTGTTTAGCCACTAACTTGAATATGCTCTCAGTTTTTACTTCAACCTTTACCATTAATTTACATAAGCAATGGTCATCGGACATTATGTCTTAGGGACAAAATATGTACGTAATTCAAACGTCACCAATTTATTTGGAATGGTAGTATTTGGGTCTGAATACGTTTCAACTACCGGTATGTTCACTATTTTTGTTATTTCCGAGTCATGTGGAATTTCGATTGTCATAACAAGTCCATATCTGATACATGCATGTAATAAGATAATTTATGTATAATTCCACGTTCTATTTTTCGGACGTTAGTCGGAGGGGCTAGTGTGGTCAGTTTTACCGTCTAAGGTTTATTGCAATTCCTGTCTTCTTTCCTCTTAGATCTACCAAACTCTTTGATTTTCAACTTATTTATAGAATTTAATTTATTGTCATTTTTAATGTTTATATATTAAATTGAGAAACTTTATTCATTTATTCTATTATTAATTTCTCAGAAGAAGAACCAGAGGCTCTTAAGAGCCTGTGATGCTCACCTTGGTCTATGTGCATATTCGACAAAGGACACTCTCCAACATTATAGCCGAGAATAGAATTCATGACAAAAATCTGTTTTGTTGATCATGTATTGATGATCATTTAGTCTGTTTAGTTTCTCTCTATCTTTTTTAGTTTTTGCTCAAGACACAAAAGAGGATAAAAAAAAATCCTCAATTAAGGGCAATCACTCCTATAAAGAGTGACACTCTACTAACTTTGTCGGCAAAATTTGACTTGTTAGTAGATCTTGACTTGCTGATCAATTTTGTGATTTAAAGTGTTTATTTATCTATAATAATTTATCTATAATAATTTTTTTATCATATATGTCAAAACACAAACAAAAAGGTGAAAATCGTCTTTAAAGGGCAATAACTCCAATAAGGAGTCGTAGGAAGATTTCCTCCATGTTGTCTTAATTGTAGATCTTGTCTTGCTGATGATTGCTTATTTAAGTTACTATCTATTATAATTTTTAAGATATAAGGCAAAAACGCAAAAAATTGGAAAAAATCGTCATCAAAGGGCAATAACTCCAATAAGTAGTCGACTGACGATTTCGACCATGTGACCTATTTGTAGAACTTGTCTTGCTGATCATTTTTGAAATTTTAAGTTTCTCTCTATCTATTATAGTTATTAAGATAGTAGGCATACACGCAAAAAATTGTTAAAATCGTCATCAAAGGGCAATAACTCTAATAAGGAGTCGACTGATGATTTCAATATGGAAACATATTTGTAGAACTTGTCTTGCTGATCATTTTTGCATTTTAAGTTTCTCTGTACCTATTATAGTTTTCAAAACAGTAGGCAAAAATAAAAAAAAATTGGTAAAATTTGTCATTTAAGGGCAATAACTCCTATAACATGTAATCTGACAGTTTTGATGTATATGCTCAACATTATGAACATTTTTGCTCCTGTCAGATTTTCTCTATTCATAGCGGTTTTCAAAATAACAGACAAAACTTGCATTTAACCCCTATGTTCTATTTTAGCCACATCGGCCATGTTGGTTGGCAGGCAAGGTCATAGGACACATTTTTTAAACTAGATACCCCAATGATGATTGTGGCCAAGTTTGGTTATATTTGACCCAATAGTTTCAGAGGAGAAGATTTTTGTAAAAGTTAACGGACGACGACGGACGACGGACGCCAAGTGATGAGGAAAAATCACTTGAGCCTTTGGAAAATAAATATTAAAAATAAGACCGAATCTGGAGCGGACTCGAATATAATATAATATAATTGTCATTGCCACCCTCCGGGGGACTTTCGTTGGAATAAACACGTTTTGATTTCGATTGTTTCCTTCCCGATTTTTCATGATTTTCTTAGTTTTTTTAAAGGGGCATTAGCTGTCAAATTCATGTTCACCGATTTGACTCAAATTCTCATATTTGATTTATAACATGCTAAAACGTATATAAAAACTACAACTAGAGGCTCTGTCGCTCACCTGTATTTACGGATGTTTTGGAAATCATGTAAAATAAGGTTAAAATCATAATTAATAGTATTAGATATTAGATATTATATGATATCTAAGATAATAACAAAAAACTGCAAAATTTCTGTAAAATTACTAACTCAGGGGCAGCAACCTAACAACGGGTTGTCGGATTTGTCTGAAAATTTCAGGGTAGATAAATCTAAATCTGATGAACATTTTTGCCACCTGTCAGATTTGCTCTAAATGCTTTAGTTTCAGAGATATAAACCAATAAAATGCTTCGCTGGGCGCAGCTTGATACGACCGCAGAGGTCAAACCCTGAACAGTTGGGGCAAGTATGGACACAAAATTCAAGCTTGATACAGCTCTGAATTTGGATTGTGATTAAATATTTGACACAGCATAGGTTTCTGACACAGAAAGAATGTGGTCTAAGAACTTCAATTTTTTTAATTTACCTATTATGGTCCAATGTCCAAAATCAAAATACATGGTTAGATTCAGCATATCAAAGAACCCCATATATTCAATTTTTGTTGAAATCAAACAAAGTTTAATTTTGGACCCCAACTTGAACAAACTTGAAAACTGGTCCCATAATCAAAAATCTAAACACATGTTTAGATTCAGCATATCAAAGTACCCGAAGAATTCGATTTTTGTTAAAATCAAATTAAGTTT